GAGAGAGAGAGAGAGAGAGAGAGAGAGACACAGAGAGAGAGAGAGAGGTACGGAAGAGGGAGACCTGATACATGGGCTTGGGGAAGCCGTAGAAGTCGTGGATGGTGTCGTTAGGGCCATCGATGACGTTCACGGTGGGGGAAGCGGTCTCCCAGTGAGCGGATACGACGAGGACGGCCCTGGGCGCCGCCTGCAGCACCTTGGACCGCCACGACTGAAGGAAGGGCCTCGCCGGCAAGCTCTCGTCGATCGACAGCGTCGGCGACCCGTGCGACAGGTAGAACGTCTCCATCCCCCTTCACCTCCGATCGAACCAGAGGTCGAATCCTACACGTCACCCAACACTCCCAACAACGAGCGAAACCCGCGACAGCTTGTCGCGTCGTGCCGACACCTATATATATATATATATATATATATAGATAGACTAATATAGTGGCAAATATATTATTTATAAATTTTGATATTGAAATGAATAGTTTAACTAATATTAGTATTACGGCTTTAACTTAATAAGATAATTAAAATATTCACCATTTGTCCAAAATACTTAAGTCTAAATTAATAATACTCATCAGCCTCAACTCCATGCCTTACCTCATGTTCTTTCTAAGTTTCTTCTTTACTCGAAGCTCTTACTGATAGGGGTAAAAACGAATAGGACATGACGCACCGGATTTGACGTAACACCGCCCCACGACAATCGCCCCAAACGGCGCACCACGCCAAAGGACATGCATTAATACCAGCGTAACGCGCACCCTCACCGACCGTACCCGCACGGCCTCGTCTTGCTGACCCCCGTACGATCGGACAGAGCAGGGGAAGGCGTCGGCCAAGGCTTGCCACACCCTACAACTCGACCTTACCGCGCAACGCCCACAACGGCAACAGACGCGATCAGAAGTACGGCTCTGCCCCAGCGGGGTGGCGTCAGGTAACATCGAGCTTACATATAAATACCCACGGGCTCCCAGCCGGCAAGGTAAGCGGACAAAACACACGATTTTCCCCTAAAACTCCCATCTACACCACTAACTTGACCGTTGGAGGGGTCGGGCCGAATCGCCGACCCGACCTTTGTGCAGGTATTCGGGGAAAACCGACCCAGCAGCGCGGAGCATCCCGGCCTTATTCCCCGTGATCGGCCGTCCCGAGATCTCAAGCCTGGTAGCCTCGCCTGATCCTAGTCGTTCGGACCCCTGAACCAGCCGCGTCGACCCCCAGGTCACGGCTAAAAAAGTTACTTACCGTAACACTTACTATGCCATATTACTAGTTCAATTCTAAGCTTAAGTTAACAGTAAATCACCCATTAGATCTAATTCTATGTCATTTAGTTTCTAATAGCTATTTCATAGTTGAGCGAGTTGACTTAATAATTATACACATATTAGATATAATATTGCACGGGTTACAACATGACCGCATAGCGCAGTGGATTAGCGCGTCTGACTTCGGATCAGAAGGTCGTGGGTTCGACTCCCACTGTGGTCGTCGTTTTTTAAGTATATATTTATATTTACTTGTTATTTTTATTTTAGCCTTTTTTCTTTATTTCTGTCCCACTTATGGATCATAATAATTGGATTAAAAATTTCAAGGTTTATTGGGTAATTATGTTAATCTAATCGTCAATATCCAAAATAATATTCAATCCAACATATTTAGAGATTCCTTAAAAGGCAAGCGGTGGAAACAAATCAGACGTCGGCTCGAGCAAAACTCATGTCCTCTCGGTCGACGGACCGAGCTCAGAGAGCCCGCGGCCCATCTCCCCCTTTGCAGCCTTCCACCTACAAAGAACTCCTCCGTCTCTCCACCACAACCCGATCTTTGGTCCTCGGCAAGCTCGTCCACTCTCACATGATCAGGGCTTCCTACAGGCCCGGCCTCTTCATGCACAACGTCCTCGTAAACATGTACTGCCGGTGCGGCGACCCGACCACCGCCCGCCAGGTGTTCGACAGAATGCCCGTGAGAGATGCCGCAACCTCGAATATACTCGCCGCCGGGTATTCTCGAGTCGGGTACTGCGGCAGAGCGTTGGATGTGTTTAGGGAAGCAAGAAGCGCTGGCGTTGGCCTTGACCGGTTCAGCTATGCTGGCGCTCTGAGCGCCAGTGGTGATTGCGGAGATGTCAGGATGGGCAGGATGGTCCATGGGATGGTCGTCGTCACTGGGTTGTCTCGTCGTGCTTTTCTGACAAATTCGCTTATGGATATGTATTCCAAGTGTGGCATGATCGACGAGGTCAGATTGGTGTTTGATCATGCGGAAGAACTGGATGAAGTCTCGTGGAATTCTTTGCTTTCAGCTTATGTCAGCGTTGGCTGGCCAGAGGTGGCAGTGAATATTCTTGTTTGGATGCATCGATCGGGAGTGAAGTTGAACAGCTTTGCTCTCGGTAGTATTCTTAAAGCTTGCTCGGGTATGAGGGATTCAGACGATGTTCGAAGGATGATGCATGGGTGCGTGACGAAAGTTGGATTGGACTTGGATCTTTTTGTCGGCAGCGCAATGCTTGATATGTATGCGAAGAATGGTGGATTGGAAGAAGCAATCAAGATCTTTGAGTACATACCGAATCCAAGTGTGGTGGTGTTCAATGCTATGATTGCTGGATTCTCTCGATTGGGCACAAAATCTAGTGGAAAAGACAGATTTAAAGCTTTAAGCCTTTTTCGTGAAATGCTAAGGAGACAAATGAAACCCTCAAAGTTCACATTCAAAAGTGTGCTCGAGGCCTGTAAGTCAGTGCGTGCATTTAGATGTGGGAGGCAAATCCATGCCCATGTAATTATAAATAATCTCCAAGATGATGAGTTTATTGGGAGTGCACTGATATCCTTGTATTCAACCTCAAATTTGACTATGGAAAGCTTGAGTTGCTTCCAAATGACTCCTAAGCAAGAAATTTTCACCTGGACCTCCATGATCTCAGCTTTTACACAGAATGAACAGTATGAAATGGCTCTGAGCTTATTTAAAGAATTACTAGGACTCAGAAGAAAGCTGGACCAGGTCATTATATCATCCGTGATAACTGCTTGTTCACGTATGGGTATGCTACGGATTGGAGAACAAATTCATGGCTATGCCACAAAGTTGGGACATGATAAGTTCACTGTTTGCTGTAATTCACTGATCGACATGTATACCAAAACAGGAGATGTAGGTGCTTCTATTAGGATGTTCCAAGACATTGGAAGCCTTGATGTTTTTTCTTGGTCTGCTATGATTTCAAGCTATGCCTTACATGGCAATGCAGGAGATGCTTTGGTCCTCTTTGAGAAAATGAAAGAATGCGGGGCCGTGCCCGATCATGTCACCTTCCTTGCTGTTCTTACTGCTTGCAGCCACGGAGGCTTGGTGGATGAAGGTTTCAGGTTAATCATTCTCTCTAATCTTTATATTCAAAACTTGCTTATCATGTATTTCATGTCATTGGCTCCCTTTTGGTGACATGTTTCCATCTTATCATGGTGATGGTAGGTATATTGCTTTCCCAAATTTGTCTGGTCTCTGGAAATACATATCATTAGGCAGATGACATTTATAGAAGACCTGAAAGCTAATCTGCATATGTAAATAGGCTTGTTGGTTTGTATCATATTCTCAAGCACCGATTAGATAATTTTAGAACAAATGTCGAGCTAGTTACTTACTGTGAAGTTAATTGGAAAAAAAATAATAAAAGAACTAACAGATGTGCTAAGGCATATCATGCTAGTTATATAGACATAAGAAATTGTCCTGCATGTTTAGATCAAGCAATCCTTGTGCATTAGTTTTTTCTTTCTTTGCCTCTTTCTATATGATTTAAAAGCAATTTTTGAGAGTTGCTTCCAAGTAGCATGAGCTTGAAAGCCACCAAATGGTTTGTGGCTTGTTGCTTGAGGTTTTGACATTAGTCACAAAAGCTACATGGCCTTTTTTTGGTAATTTTGTAGGACTCAAAGTAACACCGCCAATGCCGGTCCCAAGCCCGGATTAAAAAGGTGGAGGGTTTCAAACTAATAGGCATTCAAAAACAATGAGGATTTGAAGTTCATATTATTAGTACATTGCCAAAAGCTTGCCTCAAGAAAGTTCAAATTTCGGCATAGTATACTTATATATCATGAAAGATGGTTCGTATTTAACAGCATACGCAGGAACGTTAAGTCTTGGTTACGCAGCTTTTAGCAGTAAACCTATGTCTCCATGATTGTTGCGTATCTTGTCTTAATGCAGGTACTATGAAAGCATGAGTAGAGAATATGACATAGTTCCAAATTCGAGACACTGTGCTTGCATAGTTGACCTCCTAGGTCGGACTGGAAGAATTGTTGATGCAGAGGGCTTCATATTGAGCTCAGGATTTGCCAATGACCCAATCCTTTGGCATGTACTTCTGCGAGCATGCTTGTTCTATGGTGACACTGAAAGGAGTATACGTGTTGGGGAAAGCTTAATGGTAATGGAGCCCTTTTTTGCTACGTCATATATGCTGCTGTATAACATGTATCTGGATGTTGGTAAAGTGTCCTTGGCCATGAGAACAAGAGGTTTAATGAGAGAACGAGGGGTGAACAAAGAAACAGGTGTAAGTTGGATTGAGATTGGAGCATCTTTTCATTCCTTTGTGACTAGCAGTAGCTACCACCATCACATTGATTTCATTTATGAAAAGCTACAAGAAATGATGCTTCATATAAAACAAAAGATGGGAAAAGCTGGTCCTAGGATTTTGGAGTTGGAGTACCAAAGTGAAAAGTGGAGAGAGAGTCTAATGAATAGCCATGGTGAGTTGTTGGCCGTCGCATTTGGAATGTCTAACTTGCCAGAGTCAGTTCTGATACGAGTTATGAAGAACCAAAGGGTATGTGGTGACTGTCATAAGACACTGAAGTTGTTCTCGGAGGTTGAAAGACGGGAAATTCTTGTCAGAGATTCAGTTCGGTTTCATCATTTTAGTTGGGGTTCATGTTCTTGTGGTGATTACTGGTAAAAGAGAGTATATCTAAGACACTGTTAATTTCATACTTACTAATAATCACTTGTTTGAACAGTGAAATGAATGGATGCCAGGCACTTGGACTGTTTAATTTGCCAAGAGCCAGTTTCTGTATGAATTATGAAGAACTATAGTGTCTCATGGTGGAGGTTCAAAGGTGGGAAATTGTTGTCAGAGAACCTGATCAATTTCGTCATTTTAGTTGGGGTTCAGGTTCTTGTGGTGATTACTGGCAAAGAAAATGAATCCAACATATTGTTCACAGTTTTCTTTTATTACTGATGATCACTTTGTGATGCTGCAATCACTTGGTTGGATGGTGAATAAGAATGTCCGTTAGGCATTTCAAATGTCACCTGCCAGAGTCAGATCTGATACAAGCTCCCAGTACCAAACATTTTGTGGGATAGGGATCATACTCAGAGGTTGAAAGGCAGGAAACTGTTGTCAGAGATCCAGTTCGCTGTCATTATTTTAGTTGGGGTTCATGTTCTTGTGGTGATTACTAAAGGAAAAATGTGTGACACATCGTTCACAATCTCATATTTATCATGATAATAACTTTGTGATACTGCAATCACTTGGTTAACAGTGAACAAGGATGACAATTTGGCCCCTCTGAGAGTTAAAAAGTAATGGAAATCCCAACTGAAACTGACAGATTAGGCAACATGTTATGATAGCTAAAAGCAGTGACATTGGGTCTCACTTAATTTCTTTGAAGCTTCAAAGGTGAATATGGTGATTTTATTTTCTTGGTTTCTAACGTATTTACCAGACGATTGCCATATATCAATGAGCAAGCTGATATTTTGTGCTGGTTCTTTTGTGTTAGTGAAGTGGTGATACTGATAGCCATATATGGCCAGAGATCTGCAATATCATTCAAGTCTAGAATGTTGAAAGGCAGAAAAGAAGTTGATGTAATTGGATTATAAATTGTTTTCATTTTTTTACATTTGCACAGGGATTGACCATGAGAAATGTGTTTTCTATGATAGTTTAACAAAGATTAGTCATCAAAATTTCAAAGACCAGCAAGGAATCAAATAAAATTCTCCTTCAAGAAGTCTCTATTCAATATGTTCTTATCATCAGACATTTTGAAGCTGTACATTACTGATGTTGACTATTTGCATATGAAGCAATAGATAATGATGATTAGCTACCCATTACTCAATGTTATGTGATGCATGTATCATGCAATTTTTAAGATTCTAAGAGTGATGTTGGATACAATGTACCAATTTTTATTTTCTTCTGTGGTGTAAGAGCATTAACTGATGGTGTTTCTTTATGGGAAGAGTCTCCTATGGAATCTAACATAAATATGCTTATGTGATAGTAATGAAGAGTTATTATATCTCTTGGAAGGTAAAGATAACATTTAATATGGCTAAACTTCATCTAAGATGTAATGGTGGTTTGTCAACTGCTCTTTGCTCAAACAAATACACTGTTTTTTGAATTCTCTAATCAGCTGTTTGGTTCTCCAATATTTATAGCTAAGCATGGATGTGGTTTGTCAATGTCAATACAATACTTGGTAGACACAAACTACTCATCTCTTGGGTCTGAGCCACTTTGTATTAAACTATGAAGAGTATTGCCTTTGTTTTTGGAGCTGCTTCTCTTGCATTATGTTTGGAAGCATTATGGCAACAAGGAAACATATGGATCAGATTAGCATGTGAGCTTTTAATGTCTCAGGAAGACCTGTCTAATTGAGTAGTGGCATGATGATTAGAAAGAAACAAATGATCATGTGAGTGGTGGTCATACTGCTCAGCCACAAATTAGGAGACTTGTCTATTTCTTGGTATACAATTAGGGAATCATCCATAAGAATGCCTAAATTAGTCAGTCAGTTCCATTGATTCTGTTCTGATCCTTCATTGATAGAAGTATCCTTTTTTCAAGTTTAATTTAGTTTTGATGCTTTTTCTTTTTTATATTTTCTCATCTAGATTTTGGTTCATCTTCTTACTTCTCCCCACCAGAATCAAGAACAAGGCAAGAGGATTACATTACAGGTTGAGAGATGGAGAGAGGTGAAGCTCAAAAAGAAGACATGAGGCAGGGGTGGTCATGCATCAGGTTGGCTGTGGAGGAGCTGTCCTTGTTCAAGCCCGAGGAGAAGAAGATGTCCACCTTGGCCTTTCTAGGCGCCTCCAATCTGCTCCTCCATGTCCTTGGTTTGCTCCCTCCTCCTCCTCCTGTTCTTTGAGCTTTTGTTAGCCTTGAGAATGCATGTAATCTGTTATAATCCTTCTGCAGCCATAAGCATTGCAAGAAGAAGAAGAAGAAGCTTTCAATATTATAACTCATTTATCTTACTAAAGATGCATATATTTGCCTGCAACTATCTGCCTCTTCTTCAATTGCTTTCTTTGATATCACAGACAAGATTGGACCAACAATGATGGTGCTAAGGCGAGACATACAACGAAATATAGAGGTATATCAACTTGCAATGATTGAATCATGTTGACTGATCTACTTCTCTCTTATCTAAAACAAGTTACTAAAACTGTTCAGAGAGTGGAAGAGACATACATGTTGGATCCAAATCTGTATTCAAGTTTGGAAGAGATAGTGCAGAAAGAGGTGGTGGGTGATGGTTCTGCAAGACAAGATGATAGCTGTTGCAGATCTATCCTATGGCTTGCGAGGTACTGCTACACAAGCATACTTCTTCTTACTGCCATACATGCTCTTGGAAATCAATCTACTCAGGCAAACATCTTTTGATTGATCAGGTCGATAACTTTCAGCTTAGCTTTGTTGGATAAGTTAGATAAGAACCCTGAGTCAAGCCTCGAACAAGTGGTGGAAGAGACCTACAATGGCACATTGAAGCCATGGCATGGTTGGATATCCTCAGCTGCTTACAAGGTACTCTGTTCTTTCTGCTCACAAGTTCATCTTGGTAGCTCTTTTGCCAGTTTCCTAAGCTAAGTTGTGAATGAATGAATGAATAGGTGGCCATCAAGCTCGTTCCGGGGAGAGAAATGCTCATCAGATTGCTGATGGGCCAAGAACAAGATTACAATGACCTGAAACAAGACATCAAGAAGTATGCCTCAGTGATCCGGCCTCTTCTGGATGACACATACCAACTCTTGGTGAGTAGAATTGGCTTCTTTCTGTGAGTTCGTCTTCTTTGTGTGATTGGATTCATTGCTTTGTGATTTCTGATGATTTGGTGCAGAGAACGCATGAATTGGACAGACTGAAGTCTGCCTGATGGTTGAGTTTGATGATGCGTATGCCTCACATGATGTAAGAACAGAGTGTACATTGTTGCTTGCTTAGAAGAAAGAATGTAGCCTACTATCACGAAATAACAGCAGGTTTCATCTCTCTCTCTCTCTCTCTCTCTCTCTCTCTCTCTCATCACAACCAAACATGAGATCGTAGTACGGTGGCGTTGCACGTCGTCTGGACGAGGCTGGGGGTATTGGTGGAGAGGGAGAAGAGGGGGAGACAGAGGAAGAAGATGAAGGGAAGAGTAGAAGCCGTGCATGGATTTAGAGCAGTGCAGTGCATGCATTGTTCCTGTCCTGTGGTAGCACGTGAACCGACGGAGGCGGGAATGGACTCGTCCGACTCGTTCGTCGGACTCGGCAACGGTGAGTCGTATGTGGCCTGTTTCCGAACTCATCGGATTCGGATCCGGATCCTTCACCGTCGCAGTGCGGACCGTCCATTAAGATGTCCTTGAGACAAGTCAAACACCCGTTATAATGACCGCAGTCGATCGACGGGGCGTCGATGCTGCGGGGCGGCGGCGGCGGAGGAGATGGCGAGGAGCACGGCCCTCACGCGGCTCAGAGATGAGGACAGTGACGAGTGCGAGAAAAGTGGTGGGGCGCGGTGGTCCATAGGGATCACGAGGGAGGCCGAAGAGGGAGGTGGGCCTCGCTTGGAGGAGGAGGAGGAAGAGGATGAGACGTTGGCGATGGCGTGCGTGCGTGCATGCCTGTCATTTCACCATCACAAAGAGGAGGATGAGCAGGACAAGATGATGAAGAAGAAGAAGATGGTATCACAAGGCATGCAAATGACATTTCCATGCAGCAGTAATTTGGAGACTTCCCCCTCACTGTAATTTTTGTTACAGGAAAAGGATAGAAGGAGACAACCTTTCCCTGCACAAGTAGATGTAATTTGTTTGACTTCATCTTGAACACCTTCGATGTGATGAGATACACAATGCGATGCTCATTTGTCCTCAAGTCAAAGTTAAGCCTCTCATTAGACCACATGGTCGAGATAAATATTTGGATATTCATATATATATATATATATATTTTTTTTTTTTGCAAACGGAGACACTATATGGGAAAAAGATAAAAAAAAAAAGAGTTTTTTTTTCCTCCAATATAAGAAAAGCTCACTCATTTTTCATGAAAGGAAAAATAGGGGAATAAAGAGGACACAAACAAAAAGGAAAGCGAAAGGAGAGGAGAGGAGGGACAGCTACTTCACCGAGCTCCTCTCCCGAGTTTGACTGCCTCGGCCTTGACGACGATCCCAAAAGCGACGCGTAACCAAAGCTAGGAATCCTTCTCGTCGGCTTTTCAGGCGCCCACAGCCTCGCCACCTTTGCCTCGTCCGCTTCTGCACGCTTCCCCGACCCCGCCTTCCTCCGTCCGATCGAGATCCGACAGTTCGAACCCCTCGCGCGATGCCCCTCCAGTCTCCTACGGGCTAGCGGCCATCCTTCGACGACCCGTCCGAGCTGGTGATGGCATGTTCTGCTCTCTGTACCATGGAATACTGGCAGCCGTCTGATCGCCGTTTCCCCCTCCTCCTCAGCCTTTCACGTAAAATTCCTGATGCAAAGCTGCCACCCTGAGAAATGATGCGTATCTCATACACTGATATGACTTCGCCAAAAGGATCGACGCCAAGAAGATGAATCGAGAGATCATGTCTCATTTATTGACGTTGATAAAAGACTTAAAGCCACAGTACTCCACAAGAATCAAGCAGAGAAAGAACTGACAGTGTGGGCTTGGGGACGGGGACGTACGTACTCCCTTACCTGAACTCGTCACAACAAGAAACCCTTGCTTATTCCATGCAAAGCATATGGTTTAGGCGACGCTAAGTAATGCCGCAGCGCCTTTGTCTTCCTCTACATATACCCCATGGGGCTCGCGCTTGTCTCCCCACCGCTTCACGACGCTCGCAGAGATGATCACCTGGGAGGACTTCTACACCGTGATGTGCGCCATGATCCCCCTCTACTTCGCCATGTTCCTCGCCTACGGCTCCGTGAAGTGGTGGAAGATCTTCACACCGGAGCAGTGCTCCGGCATCAACCGCTTCGTCGCCACCTTCGCCGTCCCCGTCCTCTCATTCCACTTCATCTCCCACAACAACCCCTACCAGATGGACTCCCGCTTCATCCTCGCTGACACCCTCTCCAAGCTCCTCGTCCTCATGGCCATCTCCCTCTGGGCCGCCCTGTCCGCCGCCTTCGCCAGCCCCCGTCGCCGCGGCCGCCGCCTCGACTGGGTCATCACCCTCTTCTCCGTCGGTACGCTCCCCAACACTCTGGTGATGGGCATCCCCCTCCTCCGCGCCATGTACGGCGACTTCACCCAGAGCCTCATGGTGCAGCTGGTCGTCCTGCAGTGCATCATCTGGTATTTTGCCGATAGCTCACTGCGTGTTTCCGTAAGCCAAGCGCTCGCGACTTGCTGCTGATCTCTTCACCATGTGCTTAGGTACACTCTGCTGCTCTTCCTCTTCGAATACCGTGCGGCCACGCTGCTCATCGAGGATCAATTCCCGGGTACGGCGGCGGCCGCCATTGCTAAGTTCGAGATAGACGGCGACATCATCTCCCTCGACGGGCGAGACCCGATCCAGGCGGAGTCGGAGATCGACGCGGACGGCCGCCTCCGAGTACGCATCCGACGGTCCACTTCGTCTGCGCCGGGCTCGGGCATGTCGTCTTCGCTCGGCATCACGCCACGCCGCCTGTCGAACGTATCCGGCGCAGAGATATTCTCGGTAAACACGCCGGCCAGGCAGCCGCAGCCGGCGCCGGCGGAGCAGCTCACGGTGCGAGACATCACGTTTGGGTACCGGTCCGCCAGCCCGCACCCGTCAGGGTACGCGTCCTCCGACGCGTACTCGCTGCAGCCCACGCCGCGGGCGTCCAACTTCAACGAGCTGGAGATCTGCACGCCGGTGTGGGTGCGGTCGCCGGCGGTGGCTGGGGGAGTGAAGCTGGCGTGGGAGGGCTGTGGAGGACGATGCGGACAAGTCGACAAGGATGTCGGGGGTAAGTACACACATGCCATCCGCTGCTGTCAGGTCTCTCTTTGGACTCTGTTTGCCATGGCATCACATTGAAGACAAAGAAAAAACATCACATTACTCTGACACTGCAGTAATTTACAACACAACTCAAATTCACGGTCTCAGATTCTTCAACAATGTCTCCTTCTTAGAACAGCACTGCTGTTACTCGCATGTGATGGCAGGCAGCTCCGCTGCTGTCACTGTCCAAGGTTGTAGGAGATGCTCTCTCTCCCTGCGTATGCCATGTAACTTAGAATCTCATTATGTCCTTGGTTTGCTTCCATAAAGTCTCATTACTGAAACTATTCTGCTTCCAGCACATCACAGATACAGGTTTAGTATAACTCAGTTCATTTCCTAGTTAGGGTAGAAGCATTAAGCAAATCCGTTTGAAGAAGACGACTAATGATATGTGAATTCATGAATGATGAACTTGTGTAGCAGGGGAGAAAGATCTGAGCTTTAGGAGCACCTCAAAGTTTGTGGTTCGCAAAGAAGACGAGATAGAGATGGAGGGAGAAGCTGAGCAAGAGATGCCGGCCGCGCTGGTCATGCTGAGGCTCATCCTCACCGTCGTCGGCCGGAAGCTCTCCCGCAACCCGAACACATACTCCAGCATATTAGGCCTTCTCTGGTCTCTGATCTCGTTCAAGTAATCCCCTCCATTGTGCTCGATGTTACTGTCTCATGTTTTGCCTCACAATGTTGTCGATACTTTCTTTCGGTCATTGATTAGCATTTGAATCTCTTCAGGTGGGATATCAGCATGCCAAGTCTGCTAAAGGAGTCCATTAAAATTATCTCAGATGCAGGCCTTGGCATGGCCATGTTCAGCCTTGGTAAGCTTGTTACACAGAGAGAGAGAGAGAGAGAGAGAGAGAGAGAGAGAGAGAGAGTACATGTGGGGCTGAAGACCATAAAACAAAACTTGATGTGTTCATGTTCCACTTGCTTCCAGGATTGTTCATGGCTCTGCAACCAAGGATCATTGCCTGTGGGCCAAAGATGGCAGCCATAAGCATGGCGATTCGGTTCCTGAGCGGACCCACGGTGATGTCAGCTGCATCCATGGCTGTGGGATTAAGAGGAGTGAGGCTGCACACAGCCATCGTGCAGGTACAAATCCAGCAAGCTCCATTGATGCTTCTTCCATGGGTACTCAATATTCCTCTAATCTTTCAGGCAGCTCTTCCTCAAGGGATCGTGCCTTTCGTCTTCGCCAGAGAATATGGACTGCACCCTGATATCTTGAGCACTGGGTACGTTCTAATCATCTCATGATAGATCAACACCCTGCATACTCACAATGGAACATCATCGCCATCAAAGTCGGCCATTCTGGTGCTGCTTGTCTTCTTCTTCTTCTCCACCCTCAGTTTACTCTCCTTGTACCTCTGCAGGGTCATCTTTGGGATGCTTGTCTCCTTGCCTGTAACCCTACTTTACTACATTCTCTTGGGTCTGTGAGAGAAGAACACCCAACCATCAAAGTAAGGTGAAGGAAAGCATCCAAAGTGCCCACCGGTACAAAAGCTTCAACAAGCGTGAACACACTCAGATAAAGTGTAGATTAGGATCATTCGGATCATTCAACTGTGTGGTGAAGACTGTAATGGAGTGCACCACCCTGCAAAGCTTAGTGGCATCCGAAAGGAAACTCCAGTGTGGGGTTGACCATGGATGGCTAATCATGCCATTGACTCTCCTTTTTTGTGTTTGCTTTCTGTATTAATGATTGCCTGCTCTGAGATTTAGGAAGTCAAATCTCCATTCTCGTAGAAGGTTTGAGCATTTTGCACTCTGTTTCCCCTGTGTAATTGATGTGGGTTGTCTTGTCCTGCAACAAGGCAATGCCTGAGTACTGTCCCTGAAGAAGACAATGAGTCGAGGAAAACGCTTAGTACAGCGAAGAAGACGATCAAGAAATGTCTTAAATTTTTATATTAATGTTCTAAGTAATCATATTGGGTAGAGGGAAACAGCACTCGAGGCACATCCAAGCCAACTTCGTCGAGAGAGCTCTCCACCGCCACTCCGTCCTCGTCAACCGTCCCCCGTCGGCATATTACTCCGACTGGGCGCCGTTGCTCTGGCTCTTGAGCCTTCCACCGCATTCCCAATAAGATATTTTTCTTTTTGTTGTTGATTTTACGAACGGAAGATATGACATATGGATTCTGCCTTGCACCTCTTGTGCCAAAAGTTCCAAATAGTGAAAGCTAGGCTGCATGACAAAATAAGAAGTTGCAGACCGGGAGAAGTGATTAGCCGCCTGCATGCAAGAGAATTGGTCCTTGAGCACTAACACCATCTTGGTAATGGTGATTTTCCAAAGGGCGTCAATGTCGGGCCATGCGATGAGGCCATCGCCTATGCGGAGGATGTGGTCCTCAACGATGAAAAAGCTGACGATATGCAAGAAAAAGATCTAGTGCTACTCGAGGAAGAAACCTAGAAGTCAAAGATGAATTGTAATTTGCAATTCTCAAAGTAATATCAAGGGTTGTGTCGATGTGGTGAGCATGACAAAAAAGGGTGAAATCAAGGATCGAGAATCGAAGATTTGCCATCAACGATAGCCACAATGAGATCATCGAAGTCATTGCTCGATTAGTCACTCCCCTCCTCCTCGTGGCAGAGGGAGTATGGATGGTTGTGAAAGATTGGGGTAGCGCCTTTTTATTAGTGAAATTATCTTTTTATCCTCTTTTTCGTGTCATTTTTTCATGTGACAGCATATATCATGTCTTCCGACGTAAAGTCGACGACGTGAGGAGAAACGAGATTAAATATTTTATTTTTATAACTATAGGGATGTCAATATAATATTTTAAGTTTAAGGATCGAAAGACCAAAGATGACTAATTACATGAGGTAATCTATAATTGTTCCTTTCGAGTACGCCTCTACCGATTGTAAGAACTTGATATTTCACTCTCTTCATTATTGTTTCTTGTGTCTCTTTTGCTCGACAAGCTAAATGAGAACATGGATATACTGTTCACTTCAGATCGAGTTAATAGATTATCATGCTTGGTAATTCACTCATTGATACATAAGGAGTAGCCCTCATCGATCATATTCTCTTCCTTCAATATAATCTTATGACAGTTAACTGTCATACATGAAAAACATAAACACTAAAATTTATATCAGATGCTCATATACCTTTTATTATATATAAAACAAGTCTTCAGTGGGGATAATTGATAACATTGGATCTATATATTTAAGGTTCTTCTTTCAAAATTTTTTATTTTAATAGAATGACCACAAAAGTCACCCCTATAATTCGAAGTGATAATTAAGAAAAGTCCACCACTCCCCTCACCATAAAACAATAGCTAGATGCACTTAGTATAATTCGTAATATACATGTGTGATCAAGAAAGAATCAAAATGCCTTAACAATTGAGACGTCTTATTAATGACAGTAAGAATGCTCCGATGAGATTGGAATGTGCCACTTAGAATATACCACTTAGATTATCTATAATACTCTTAGAATTAGTTTCTATATAAATATGACTGACATCATAATGTGCAACTTAGCATAGAATTGAGGATATAAGGAAGCATGATGTTATTCTATGTGTGTCTCTATCATGCGCTTTTATCATTATCTTCTATCACTTAAGTTATCTACAATGCACTTAGAATTAGTTTCCATATAAATACAACTAACATCATCCAGAAAAGCTTTAGAGAGGCTATCATGAATAATAGCAACTTCCAAGAAGAGAATGCTTCGTCTTCTCTAATATCTCTTCTCTAATATCTGCAACTAGCAAAAAGGACATCATCAGTATTGAAAGGAGCCATTAGAGTTTAAATGTAGGATTGAGGCCTAGTCCAAGTAATCTCCAAACGAGATCTTCCCTTAGAGACTTTATGAGAATGTGTCTTCTCATAATCAAAAATAGAAGAAATCATCCTAAGAAAAAATATTATTAGAAGAAGTTTTGCTTTGCTTAAAGATCTGATCAACCTTGGCCCTCCAAATCTACATGAAGCAAGTTGCGATCAATGTTCTTAGAGTGGAGGAGGTTTTAAAGTCAAGATTAGACCCTTCATAGAGCTAGGAACTATCATGCCAGAAATCAAACAAGGAAAAAGAGACCTAAAGTTTGGTTTCATTGGCTTTCCAAAGAGAAACAACTATAATGCAAGAGAAGAAGATATGGATAAACTCTCATCGGTAGCAAGATAGAAAGGACACAAATTGGAGGCAGAGACACCGAGCGTGATAAGTCTATTTAAGGTAGGAAGCTGGTAATGTAACAAGACCAACTAGAGTTGGGAGTGGAAGAGGCACTCCATAGTTGGATAGTGTGAAGTGACTTTCACCTAAAATGGTATCATCACTGTTAAGATATTAGGATATTCTTTTGACTTGTAATAAGCTAAAATACTTTAATACTTGAAGATATGACTCATCTCTCTACTGGTGGGATTCCATCAGCTTTGTGTTTTATACTTTATTTCATCTTAAGACTATGGGATTTGTCATTTGTTCTGCTGTACCTGTTAACCCATTCAGTCTTCAGCTGCAAATAAACCAGTGCCAGATGAGCCACACCAAGCTGGAAAATCTTAATCTGGTATTGAGTTGGACCCAACCATGGTTACTTCTGTGCAAGCCTGGGATAAGACCAGACTCATATTCACCTCACCTCACCCACCCACCCACCTTCATTATGGTCACTGATTTAATGCATCATGCTCATCAACAGTTTGCATCAAATGGCTGCCTGCTGTGAGTGAAATTTATCACAAGCATCATTGAAAAGAATGATGTAATCTGTCACCTGTTCATCAGTCTATGTAGTCAGCTACTGTGTCAACACCTTCTCTCTACACCAAATGAACATAAATGATGTCTTAGCTGTGCTATGCTCTCTGTCCTCTTATGTCATCAGGCTATCTTTGGATAAGTAGATTTTTTTTTGAAAGACCGGTAAGGTATAACTCGGACCCAGGTTACATCATAATCGATGTCACGTCGTACTATAGACGAGTCAACAAGAGAAGCATGTCGAGCCAACAATCGTACCAAGACTTGGCATGTCCCATCTTGGTAAGCCCGGGACGACGTCGCATGGTGTCATTCCGTACGTCCCAGGACGGCAACCGCACAAAGATACCATCTCACCCTTCGATGATCAGTCGTCACGCCAAATCCACGTACGACCGATTCTCGTACAATAATATAAAAGCCCTTGGCCGGTATCCGACCCAAGGAGAGAGAAAAAAAAGAGGAAAAAGCAGAACCTCACACTGACATACTCGTTGAGGGGCCACAGTCGGTAACCACCCGACGGGGCCTTCTGTACAGGAGAGCGATTATCCCCAAAGTAAAATTATCTCGATTAAGAGATATTGCCTTCCCCTACACGTCAATCAGCATCCCGATGGAGAGTCATCAACTAACGTCTCGAGCAAGGGCCATCAACCAGCTTCCCAACCTCAACAACTAATTTAGACAATCGAAGACTCCCGACGTCGACCCGTGAACCAAGCTGTGTTGACTCATCAGCCACGGTGCATTTGTTCACCAACGGATCTTATACAATATCATGTAGTAGTATAGTAGAGATGAGACTAAACATATTTTTTATCATTATTATATAATAATTTATTTTTGACTTTTTCTCCAATAAATCCTACCTGATAAGACTATGTTCATCCTCATCTTCCTTCATGTAACATAAATCCAATCTGGCAGAATAGGGAAGTCAGTGTGTCAAAAAAACTATGAGCATGTGATGATTCTTTACCCTCCATATTCCATTCCACCCCATGAAACACTGTGTGAAGTAAACAAAAAGATTCACATGTTCTTTTTCTTTTTTAATTTTACATATAAATCCATTTCTCTATCTCATTTATATACCCACTCTACCCCACCTTTCTGCCTAACTTGCAAAATCCTCCTATTTGGATACAGATGTTCAGTATGATTGCAAAGGGATTAATGTTGTTTTTTTATGGAAATATCATATGAAATATCACATGTTAGTGATGCTCTTAAAATGTTTTATTAGAAAAATATGTATAGAGTAAGACATCTGACAAATTTTTCTATAAATAAAAATAGAAAAAAAATGTATGAAAATCTCATATATATATATATATAAATGGTACTAATTATATATTACCTAATATAATTAGCTAATTTTAGTATTTCGATTCTTATATTTTCAAAAATTACACTCAAATTTCTATACTTATAAAAATAAAATATTTAAATTCATTTCTCCTTACATCGTCCAATCTATTCTACTGATGTACATTGTTACATAAAAAAATGATACTAAAATAAAATTAAAAAGATAATTTAATAGTGTTATTATCATCAATATTAATTTCTCTTTTTATCATCATATAATTTTTTTAAATATAATTTTTTAAATATAAATATAAAATATAAAAAATAATTAATTAGATATATATATATATATAGATATATATATATAGAGAGAGAGAGAGAGAGAGAGAGAGAGAGAGAGAGAGGGTAATGGTAGCGCTCCTCTTTGTTTAGTAATTTTTATTTATTTATTTATTTATTTATATTCACTCCCTCGGTAACCGACTCTGTCTTGCTCTCGCGTTCTCCGATCCAATTCTTGTTCTAGTAAACCTTCTCTCTCTCTCTCTCTCTCGTTCCGTTCGTGGTTTCTCTTTGCTTGACTCCACAGACTGCCGCCAGATCTTCAGCCCGAGCCGCGATCCCCCCTCGATCTTATCGCCCTCCCGCATGCGCCGCGACCCCAGCCGACCGGATCTAGCGGCGGCTCGCCGATGAGCTGCGCCGTCACCGCCACGGCCCGTCTCCGGAGACCGACGGCGGGGATCTCGTGGTAGTGGCGAAGGGTCTTGGCTAGGTTGTTGTCTTTTGTTTGTTGTTTATTACCCTTATCGGGGTTCCGGTCGGGATGGCGTCCACTGATGCGGCGTCCGCGGGGAGTTGGGTCGAGTCGTATACCGGCATGTCCTCCGATAACATCAAGGGTTTGGTCCTCGCGCTGTCCTCGAGCTCCTTCATCGGTGCCAGTTTTATTGTCAAGAAGAAGGGTTTGAAGAAGGCTGGAGCTTCCGGAGTTAGAGCAGGTGAGAGAGACTCGATCCTTTTGTGTTTCTGGCTGATAATTGTGATATTTTTTGCTTTGCTTGTTGATTTGTTGATCTGCTGTAAATTGTTTTGTTGATGTTTTCTTTGTCATGGTTTGGCAATCTGAACTGCGAGATTATGGTGATGAGCTGTTTCTGGGTGAGGTGAATTGCCTTTCTTATTAGATGTGTACGAGATATGACCATTGTGAAATTAGATCTAAGAAACAAATCTGCTTGAGGAACGATTGAGAACGCCTGTTTCATGGAGATCATTCTGGGTGATGTTCATTTTGGAATTTCTTGTTCAGTAGTGGAAGGTGATGCTATGGATGGACAGCAGGAATTAGCTGTTTGGTTGTTTCTGAGAATTCATTCAGCATAATAAACTGTGACAAGTTATAGAAAAAAAAAAAGGAAAACGAATGCCGGAGAGTGAAAAGAATGCTCACACTAAAAAGAAATGAAAAGTGGAACTTCAATCCACCGTTTACATATATGATTGTTTAGACCGGACTTATGTGTAACATAAATGCATTAAATACAGCTAGGTAAAACACATATTTGGATAAGATTTTTGAGCATTTGACATAGACTTATAGAGTCAGGTGTTGATAAGTCATTGTGTCAGATGTATTTCTAAACCTTACTCCTGTTCTTTCTGGCAATTTGAGTTGTGGGTCATAATGCATTTTAATGTATTTAATGATTCAAGGTTCACCAACTTTCTAATACCTTTTTTTTTCTTCTGATTCTAGACTTTCCTGGAACAAAGAGACCATCTTTGCTATATTTCGTAACTTTCAGGAAGTAATAATGGTTCTGATCATCTGATGTTTTATTATATCTTTCTCTGGAAGAGAATCCAGCATACTAGTGAACAATAATTTGTGGGTCCTTTGCATTTTACTCTCCAGATGCAGGATACTTTTGCAGCTAAGTTATATGGTAGGTGTAGTTTTTCCTGCATTAGGAAGTCTCTCTTCACCTTAATTGGAACATATTCTTGGTGATACTGGTGGTAATCTAATTTTACTGGATGTAATTAAAATGCATTGAGTGCTTATTTTGCAATTACATGATTTCTTGCATCGTCAGTTATACAATGTTGTAAAGATGTTTAAACCATTTTTTTTGTGACTTGACAACAGGAGCTGGTGGATATTCTTATTTATACGAACCGCTTTGGTGGGCTGGCATGATAACAAGTGGGTACTCAGCTGTTGCAGTTATTGTTTTTTCAAAGTTTGATTCATTGGTAAATATTGTTGGTTTCTTTGCCGTTAATTCGACTTTGGACACTCAGATGTGCCGAGACTTGTCTTGAAAGTTAAAATTGAATTGCTATGTTTATTCATGTTCGTCCTAATTTAACATAGTTTCTATCCGACTGATTCATTTAGAAACTGCATTTTCTCTATGTTTAAGTCACTGCATATTTCTTTTGGGAGAGCCATAAGATGCTTGCTGTTAGTTCTATAGAAGTACTTGATGTGTATGCTATTTCTGATTATTAAGTTTAGTAACTGTTCGCATAGGCTTGAACCATTAATGTATTCTAAGAGGAGCCCTTGTCAACTTATGTTGAGTTCTATGTATGTATAGGTCTGTGGGTATCCAGAGGGTTACATTTAGCATTTATGCCATAGTGGTAGTGGCTATTTCCTTTCCAACTATATTGGTGGGTTTTTTTTCTGATTTGGAGACTGGGAAGCATGGACACGCTAGTTTGGGCGACATACCCATGTCCAACACGTTCAGACACAGATTCGTCACCAACATGGCAGGACACATGTTTGACATGTGTCTGACACGTTCAGACACGAAATCATCATCGACACGGCAAGACACATGTTCGACACGTGTCCTTTATTTATTTATTTTAATTCGTTGGATACGACGTTCGCATGTTGGACTCGGTGCTCATGTACGGAGGAACCCTTCTTCCTCATCGGTTTTCCTTTTTGCTCATCGTATTGGCTTTCCTTCTTCCTCATCGGTGAAATATTTGCCCCCGCCCCACCTTTGGAAGAGGAAGGCTTTGCCCCTAGCCCGAGTTCCTCCTAGACCACCACCACCCATCGGCCACCTCTACTCCAACTCTCGAGTGAACTAAAGGTTTTAACCCTCCTTCCTTGGAGACACACCTGCGAGTGACCTGATGATCGTCATTGCGTTGCATGCTCTCGGGCCCTCCACCCCGAGCGCATCTGTCTATCGCCCGCTGTCATCGCATTGTCGTTTGGCCCTTCGCCCTAAGCGCCCCACTTGCGAGCGACTCAGTGGTCGTTGCACGCCCTCGGACCTTCGACTACTTCACCAGCGTTCGACGAAGCTTCTTCCTTAGTCGTGTTGCGTAGCAAGGTATACTGATTTTGTTTAGCTTTTTTTACGACTAAAAACACCTATCTTTGATTATTATTTTTTTAGTTTTTAGTTTTGATTGAAGTGTTAACATATTATTAACCTGTTTTATTATTTATTTATTTATTTTAATCTGTGTTTTTTTATTGATTTTGATTAAATTGTTATAATAATTTGAATAAAATATCAAGATTCTGTTTCTTAATAGTAACATCAATCACTTGATCCTGTTCTTCTTCACTATATATATATATATATATATATATATATATATATACATACATTTACACACATATATATATAGACACACACACACACACACACACACACACACACACACACACACACACACACACGTGTCCTCGCCGTGTCTATGCCCCATGTCTGTATCCACGCTTCTTAGTTTGGAGATGGGTCTTGTATTTTATATCACTAATATGTTTGCAATAATCTGTCATTGAGTTGCAGTATACAAAAAGATATTCTATGCTCATAAATATTTGTAATTTACTATTTCTTGAGTTATCTTTCTTTATAATTCAGTACTGGTCTCTTTGAAAGGAATATGAACTAACAAGTTGTCTTATTTAACAGTGATTGTTGGGGAAGTTGCTAATTTTGCAGCATATGCATTTGCTCCGGCTATTCTGGTCACTCCTCTTGGTGCTCTTAGCATAATTATTAGGCATGTTCTCAATCAACATAATGCATTCTGTTATTTTTTTCCTTGAGTTATTATGAACAAATATTTGTGCTACAGTGCAGTACTTGCACGTATCATTTTACGGGAGAGGCTACACATTTTTGGCATTCTTGGTTGTGCTCTCTGTGTTGTGGGATCAACAACAATAGTTCTTCATGCTCCTCAGGAGCGGGAGATAGAGTCTGTGACAGAAGTCTGGGATCTGGCAACTGAACCAGGTATTGAACCTTTTGTTCTCTTCTTTTCAATAATTTTTAAAAAGACTCATATATTCCTTATATTGGCAATGCCACAATCATATGTGGTTTGCATTCTATCAATTTGTTCATTAGAGTGTTTGTGAACAACACTAAGATACTTCTCATCTATTATTGTGCAGCGTTTCTATTATATGCAGCAGCAGTGCTGGCAGCAGCATTTATACTTATATTCCATTTTGTCCCCCAGTATGGGCAAACGCATATTATGGTCTACATTGGTGTTTGCTCTCTTGTAGGGTCTCTCTCGGTATGAAATTTATCTGTTTGATGTATCCATTATGTTCTGGACCATGAAATAATGATCTTATGGTGCCCTTGCTATTTATTTATTGAGCAGGTTATGAGTGTGAAAGCTCTTGGCATAGCTCTCAAGTTGACATTTTCAGGAATGAACCAGTTGGTTTATCCCCAGACTTGGATATTCACAATCATAGTAATTGTCTGTATCATTACCCAGATGAACTATCTGAACAAAGTATGGAACGTTTCTGAGTTATGGCTATATTTTCTATTGATTTAATTTAGTCATGTTTGAATCTCGACTTTTTAATTAATTTATGTTTTTGTATAATTCTCAACATGATATCATATGCAAGTAAAATTGAATATCTTCGTTCTGTGAAATTGAACTTCATGTTGATCAGCATGTCATATTCTGAAGTCAAGCATTTTTTTCTTCTGAAGTTGTCCATAATGAGACAAGCCAAAAAGATACTGAAACAACAAGATAACTTCTTCAGTATGCTACCTCAGTTTGTTAGGTAAGAAGCATGAAATCTTTACCAATTTCTTGAGTAATTATAGTTTTGGTGAACAGGTAAAAACTTACATGCTGAAAGGAATCTTTTTCTGTACTGCATGGTCTTCTAGACATTCCAATGGTAGTTCCTTTAATGGTCATTGCGATCATCATACAATTTATTATCATCTACATATTGTTTGCTATTCATTATATTGCAAGTCAACAATAAATGTTATAATGTTTTTTGTGTTTGATTGTCTTAATTTTCTTATCAATTTTCAATATTTTAGATGTGTCTCAGTCCTGCTGACATGTAGATACTGTTATTTGCATATTATATTTAATCTCATGTTAGTAGTTCATTTATTTGAGACTAATTATTACACAGAATGGAATGAAATGTAGAGATAATAGTTGTCTGATTTATGATGGAATATAAATTAAAATCACAATGAATTTTGTTCTTAGCTGTCAATAGGCTGATCTCTTTGAAGTATCTAATACTCCTGTACTTGCTTAATTTTGTCCTCAGGCTCTTGATACATTTAACACAGCAGTTGTGTCGCCCATATACTATGTGATGTTTACATCATTAACCATTTTGGCTAGTGTGATTATGTTCAAGGTACTGCTCCTACCTTACTGGCTTCTTTGTTGTTGCATTTATGTTGGTCGAATTATTATATTTGACCACTGCCATTTACATTGAACGGTGATACAGCAGAGATTAAAAATGAAGTACTGCTTAAGTAAACAATCATCCTTATTTTTTATCAACTGTCTAGAGAAACTACATGGTGGAGCTTTAGTATAGTATCTTGCATAAATTAAAAATGGAAACTTTACAACGACTTTGATCCTTGTTTCTGTCAACAATAGTAGTTTCTTATATTTTTGCCACATCTAAAGCTGGTCTAAGGGCTTTCTTGAAGGTGTACAGTTTGTCTTATCTTCCATGATTCATCCCATGCTTTATTCACACATAAAAATATTCTTTCACATTTTCTTTTTGTTTCTTCTTTTGTTCTCATGTATATCTTGTATGAGATGATCATGTTAGGGAGAGTAAAAAAGGAGAAATTAAAAAAATGAGACAGAATATGGTAATGGAATTGGAAAAAAATAGAAAAAGACATTGAGCTTACCACTTTATCAGAAGGAAACATCAGTTTGGGTGATTAATAATGAGATACTTTATTGACCCTAGATTGACAGTGATCTTAACTGGTAACTTGACCTGTTATTTTGGTGTTTTAATGATAAATATTGGAGATTATTTGAAAATGATGAATCTCTACTGAAGAATCTCTTTATCTTCTTCAGTGCATATATATCATTATTTCTTGTGTTCAGTGTGCATCAATGACAAGATTATTTGAATGTTTGTGTAGTCAATCCTTAGCTTGCTCTGTTAGCTATCAGTGGCCACCTTAGGTTAGCTATCAGTTACTGCCTTGGATATTACTTCTAGCTTTGAGAAGAGAGAAGTTTTTTGTCTTCGTTTTTGTTATTCTGATCTTGTTATATTTGTTGTAATTTTTTAGATCTTTTACAGAATTTTAACTTTTAAGCGTTGAGACGAAAAGATTTATAATGTCAAGATCTCAACTACAGTTAACTTAAGGTTAATTTAAATGAAGAGGGAGGTTCAAATTGACAATGTGATAGTTAGTCCATGATATACAAGCCAAGATGGAAGATACTAAGTGTTTAGAGTTTCTTGCAAGAATGACAGCTCCAATCCATGATTCTAAGTTCTCAGAAGATGTTGACTGATTCGGAAGAAGAAAAATGGTTCTTAACCATTTGTTGTCTTTGTGCATGATGAAAGATGACCATTGTCACCATCTGATCGATCATCTATCAGAAAAAAACAATCAGCACGAAGATCAAGTGCTAGCTTTTCGTTTGAATAGGGAATGATATAATTAGATAAAATATAAGTATAGCAAGCTGACGATATCTATTTTGTATAATATCTGCTTGTGCACCACCTCCCATTGCGACATTCATCGTGTAGCTACGTGCTTTTGGGCTGAGGCCAGGTGCACTTGAATCAGTGACCATGGAGCCCATGTCTTACCTGCAGCTGTTTCTCATTGGTTGGTCAACAGATATTGTTAGTAGTGCTGCTGACAATTATAGTCCTAACAGCATCACTCGCTGAAGGGATCATCGATCAAGTGGCGACCATGGAGCTGATGTCTTACTTGCAGCTGTTTCTCACTGGTTGGTCAGCAGATATAATGCTGCCGACAATTATAGTCCTGACAGCATCACTTGCTGAAGGGATCGTTGATCAAGTGGTGGCAACAATAGATTGACTGGAATGTTTGGTTGGGGCTTGGAGGAATAAAGGGAAGGGAAAAAAGAATAATAATGTACATATAGGATATATGTAAAAAGAGAAGTCTAGGATGCTTGGATCTGAACCCATTGTCCATTTACTTATTTCAATTGCAGTAGAAACTAGTTCTGGCATGTCCGGCTAATAGATTTGATCTCCTTGAACTTAAGATGGTTTCATATTGGATCCCAAAAGTGTATGGTGTTATTAGATTTGTACCAAACTAAACATGATTTCATATTATGATCATAATTCTGGTGATGCTGGGTTGATGAAACTTATTAACCATGGATGGACTCTACTAGATCTTGGGCTTTGACTTTTATGTGTTCGAGTCAAAGGTGTCAGCTAGCTAGCCTCGTTGGTAAAGTCTTTGTTGTAAAATCCGGGATCAAATCTAGCCGTCACTGCTTATCCTTTGCAGGGAAAAAAAGAGAGACAGGGAGAGTTGCATGTGGCAGTTTCATATTGGGGCATATGTTATTGTCGTCATCTCCTAATACTAGGACGCATCCTAACTGGGGCCATCCTAATCTTAACTATTGGCACTAGTTAGATGTATTCAATCCCATCAAGCCAATTTAACATATTATCATCAGCATAATAAATGTGCTTAAATTATCGGTCAAGATCCCAACTTCACCAAGACAAGATCAACTTGGTGAAGGGATGTTCCCAATGTAATTTCATTCAGGACTTCGATTATCTTATCAGCTAAAATTTTTGGTGGTCCTTTTGGTGTGTAGGTGTAGAACAATGAAGTTGTTCTGTTACGTATTAGTGTCTTCTGGCTTCTGACAGGACTGGGATCGGCAGAATCCAACGCAGATCATCACGGAGATGTGTGGCTTTGTCACGATTCTTTCTGGGACATTCCTACTCCACAAAACCAAGGACATGGCGGATGGTATGTACTGGATTCGGAGCATGTCATTTGTGGTTTTGTGATCGTTTACTATTTCAGGACCTTTTCGCCTTGCAGGTCTACCATCATCATCTGTCTCTGGGCGCCTCCCAAAACATGCCGACGAGGATGGCTACTCTTCCGAAGACATTCCCCTCAGGTCTCCCGAGTCATTTAGGTCATCATGACAGGTTGCAGTGGTCTGTTGCTTGGAAGCATGGACTTACTTGATCTGCATCATGACTTGATTGCACCGAGATGAACCTGCATTCTTTCCATACATAAAGCTGTAGGTTTTTTTTTTTACTCGAAAAGCATAGGATCAATCCCCACTTGTTAGGTGAGACGTCTGGTGAATACACTCGGGGATTCACATTTTGTTATATATGTAATGTTACCTTAAATCGTCCAGAAAATTTGATATCGTGACAGTGCGGAGACGGAGGTTAGAATGATGGCTAGTGTCTGAGTTTCCCAGCTCTCTCTCTCTCTCTCTCTCTCTCTCTCTCGGACACTGTTAGGTCTCCAATGGTGACGAGATTGCTATTTATATTGATAGCTGCAGTATCTAACGTGACCTAGATAACTGCATCACATTTACCTCCAAGCTGATGTCTGGTTAACTAATAAGCAAGGAATACCTCCTTGCTTGCTTGGCAGGTGTACAACTAAACTGATCACCAAATTATTCGTACAGTTGAACACAATCGTATTTTGGCATCCTTCTTCTTATCCCGATAAATGCTGGAAACAACAAATGATATCAGCACAACGTGATCTTGATTTGTTTGCGAGGAGCCGTTCGAGGTAGGGCTGGGTTTCTCCAACTTTGTTCCCACGTAAAGATCGAGGTCATGAATGATTTTTCGAGTTGGTCTCTTCGCTCAAGTTAGTACTTAGTTACATCTTTTTCTCATCTTCTTTTTCTTTTTGGGGGTGATTCTCGTAGACCCTAGGGTTCTGCTGGATTTAAAGTTGATGAAGAGTACGCACGACTATGACTCAGTAGTAGGCATTCCGCTCCTAGAAGGCCTGTGAATCAAATACTACATCCTAGTCGAGTTTGATTTACAGGCTCATCGTCTTGGTCAGTGCCTGTTTAGTTCGACATCAGGATCCTTGTCCCTGCAATGTGATGCCCTTAAAGTGGGACTCTACCTCCACCTTCACCTTGTAATAATATCTTGTCTTAAATGATAGGGCATATCTTTGTCTCAAATGGCTCTTAATTTCTAACGTTATCTAGTGGCTTTCATTGGGGAATGCAAGCGTGTCAGCATCCCCTCATCCTACAAGCTATTTGTTTCTTGTTTTCAGCTATGCAAAGGGAAGAATAGCTACTATTTGACGACTCAGGAAGGTTTTAAAGTCAGTGGTGCCCCTTCAAATAATAAGGGTTGGAAGGAACGCTTTTTCTTTATAAATCTAGGTCGAGATTGGGGGTTCAATCTTTCTTGGTCGGTTCATTCCTTTGACAATACCTCTCCTATTATCAAACGAGGAAGGGGACCAGGTGCTTCGATTGAGGGATATTCTTTCCTCGTCCGAGGCCATATGAAAGATGGACAAGGACTAATTGGTCAATGCAAGTCTCAGTTCAACTTCTCGAGGTATGTCTCGGTCCCCTTCGTCCTTGCATACTTCCGATTTTCTGTAGTTTCATAACATTGGTCTTTCTTTTTTTAGGCATGGACTTGCATTCCTTGAAGAAATGAGGATGTGGCTCCTCTTCTAGCGTAGTTGCTATCTCGGTAGTCCTAGCCCCCGCTCGTGAGTTGCTACTTGAGGAATTGGGTTCGACCGAGTGGGGCTAAGACACAGGCACCAACCAATCAAAGAAGATATATAAAGTAGTTGTAAGGAGGGCCCCTCATCTTCTGAGGAGGAGGTCCAAGGAGCCTACCGTGAGCGGAAAGCATGTTTTGCCAATGTCGGAGCCTATGGAGAGTCCTATTTTGGCAACATCGAAGCTTGTAGAGAGTCCTATTTTGGCACCGTTGGAGCTTATAGAGAGTTCCAAGAGCCCCGGGTCTCCCTTGGGCCAAGGGGGAGAGAGGTTGATGCGATGGTTGACTTGTACAAGAGGAAATCCTGAGTTTTTGCAACTTTGGTTATAGTCGACCTATTTGTTCTAACCTTGAGTTCTCTGCAGGAGGGTTAGAAGGTATGGGATGAAGGCAAAGCCTTAGAGCAATACTGTTAGGGATCTCTTTATTTGGGTCTAGTAAAACATATCTCTCTCTCCTTCTTAGATATTGCTTGATTAGGGTTATCGTCATGAAGTACTAGTAAGTCAGGCCGTGACTTTTATTATTATTACTATTACTATTACTATTAGAAGGTCGGTGCGATAGAAGAGTAAGCTTGAGAGCTCGAGAAGATGCTAGAGGTTGAATGGGGCAAGGTACCGAGGTATCAAGAGGCGATCACTGAATACAAGGCATCTATGGGATTTCAAAAGGAGCTAGAAAGATCTGGCATCGCCTCATATACATTTGGGTATTTGATCACCTTAGCTCGTTTTAATGTGTAATATCCAGGATTGAGCTTGAGGAGGACCTGTTTACTAACCACCCCGAGGATCAGGTCGTTTAGATAGAAAGTAAGATAGCTTTCAATGACAACCTCGACTCATTTTCTTACTCGGGCATATGATCTGTTGCAATGTTCTTTTGCTTTTTTATAGATCGACGTCTAAATTTGTAACTTTCTTTTGGAGAAATAAAAAAAATATTTTCTATAAACTTAAAGTGTACCTTGATGGAACCCCCTAGGGGCCTCAAGGATCAAACTTCTTTAGGTTGGAGATATGCCATGTTCTTGGTAGTGTCTCATATTCTATTGTTCCGAGGCGATAAGTTCTTTCTCAAACGACTTTGATGACTCGGTACAATGCTTCCCAACTCGGTGCTAACTTTTCTTGGGATCGGGTTGGGTCACTTATCTCAACCTTGCGTAGCACCAAGTCTTCTAGTCAAATTTTCCGAGGGCGAATACCTTAGTCATAGAGCTTGGCCATTGCCTTCTTGTATTTTGGTACCATTGATTAGGCTGAAGGATAATTCTCCTGACCTTGTTTTTAGTGTCATTCGGGAGGCCCATAGGATGCTCGATAACTTGTCCACCCAGGTGTCATTCGATCTGATGACTCACCTTTTGAGACCTTCGAGGATAGCTTGATTAGTAACCTCGACAATACCGTTGATTTAGGGGTGAGCCACTGAGCTGAACCTTAGTCCCATTATCTATGATGAAGGCTTTTGGTATCCTAAAACGGGTAATAATATTCTTCCATGCAAATCCTTCGACCTATCTCTCAGTTATGGATGCTAGTGGTTTGGCTTCCACCTGTTTTGTAAAGTAATTGACTCATACGATGAGAAACCTTCGCTAACCCGAAGCAAGTAGGAAGGGATTGAGAAGGTCTATGTCCCATCGAGTGAATGACCACCCATAATCAATCGGGCTCAAGGGGAATGCTGGCCGTCATAGTACTCGAGTGAATTCCTAACACCTATGACACCTTTGGGCATACTCGATTGTATCCTTGTATAGTGTTGACCAGTAGAACCCATGTCGAAATATCTTGAAGGCAAGGGTCTATCCATTGATGTATTCTCCACATATACCCTTATGAACCTCGACACACACCCTCTCAACCTCGCAGGGGGTTGAACATCTAAGGAGCAGTTGGTTGAAAGATCTACGATATAATCAACCATTGATCAGATAATACTAGGCTTGGTAGTGCTTGACTTTTCGAGCTACTACGAGGTCAGTTAAGAGCGTCTTATCTTTCTTATAATGTAGGATTTCATCCATCTAGCTCGATTCCTCTTGGACCATAATCGTGTCAAGCTTCTCGATGGTTCGAGTTGATGTCTTGACCAATAGACAACTTGGCTTGGGAGTTTGGGTGGATGCTAGTCAGTCGAGTGCATTTGCCTCGATATTCTCCTCGCGTGGTATTTGGAACACTCGAAGCCAAGAAAAGTTGTGAGCTAAATTTTGTACCTAAACCAGGTACTTTTGCCATAATTGTATCTTTGGCTTTATAACTTTCTCCCACTTAGCTTACAACTAATTGTGAGTCATTGAATACCATTAGTTCTTAAACCTGGAGTTCTTGTGCAAGTCAGAGTCTCCAGAGGAGCAGATTGAATTTCATATTCACCACCCCTATTGAAGGTGGTTGAACCATTGATGAATAATGTCCACGCCGTGAGAACAGAGTCTCCAGAGGAGCAGATTGAATTTCATATTCACCACCCCTATCGAAGGTGGTTGAACCATTGATGAATAATGTCCACGCCGTGGGAGCATGACTATCGTCTTAAGTGGGGGAGTTAATTCTGAGATGAAATCCACCATAACCTAGGCTTTTATGATAGTTCTCGATACACATATAACTCACTTAGCTCCACATACCATTTAAGTGATCACCCCAAGACAACGAATCGAGATACAACCGAATGGAGTGGTTGAGGAATTAAAAACTTCAAAGCTTTTAACATCACTTATACCTTTAAAAGATATCTTTTGGGACACCGAAAAGCAAAACTGTTCGAACTCACTCACAACGAATATTAACTTATCAGAATGATCCTAGAAGCAGGACCATGAGCTACCCTCTTAGGTGGTGACGATAATTTAGTTCTACGTTTGTTGACTTATCAATCATAAAGCTCAGCTTGGCTCGGCTCAGCTCTAATTTTACAGATAGCAAGCAAATGTACAGATCTTTCTTACGACGCCACCACAAAATTACATATCCACTCCATGTTTAAGCTATGATTTTTACAGACAACTTTGGAATTTATAAGAGTTCTTATGACTATATGCATCATTTCAGATACAAATTACTACAACCATTCCAAACGCTATGTATGTATCACAAGGGTGCGCCGAACGATACCTTGTTAGCAAGAAGTGCCCCGGGCGGCTTCGTCCAGCTGGGCCTGTATGTTGAGCCAGTGGCAATCATCGAATTCGCACCAAGCACTGCCTTGTAGCGATTCGGCAACATCAGCAGGCTCCAAGAAGTAGGGCGTCCATGTCGGAGTCCCATCCTCGAAGGAGTTGTGCGTGAGGCGTCGGATGTCCGACCCATCGATTCCGACGGTGAAGATCTCCCCGTACGGCTGGTAGTGGTGGGGATTGGAGATGGGTTCCGCCGACACCGCCCCGTAGTCCGACGTGAACACCAGGCTCTTGGAGTCGGGGCTGAACCAGGGGTGGTTCGTCCTTCCCCCGCTCCCACTGTGCACCACCCTCCTCAGCCCGGTGCCGTTTGGGTGCACCATGTAGATGGCGAAGCTCCCGCCGCCCGGGTTGTCCCTGTCGGAGGCGAAGGCAATCCACTCGCCGTCCGGCGACCAGTTGCACATGGTGTCGCTCCAGGGCCCCTCGGTCAGCCGGTGGATCCCCGCGCTCTCGCCCTCCACCGCGTCCATGATGTACAGATTCTTGTGCCCGGAGCGCCCCGAGCGGAAGACCACCCATTTGCCGTCGGGGGACGGGGAAGGGAACGCGTTGTTCGCGCCCCCCGTCGTCAGCTTCTTGATCGATGGCTGTGCATTCCCAGCATCGTCGTCGTCTTCGTCGGGCAGCGTGATGGAAATGATGTCCACTTGGGTACCCTCGGTAGCGAAGTCGGGGCCATAACTAGTGTAGATGGTCCCCTTCCTCTTCCAGTCCCACGCCGTCGGGAAAGCGATGCCAGAGAAAACCTCCCGCGGCCCGCCTGAGCCGTCGGAGTTCACCACGAAAAGCCCCGGCAGCTTGACATAAGCAATCCGTTCTCCATCGGGCGAGAAGGATGGGAACGAGCCATCGACTCTTAAGAGCGAGAAGGCCTCCGGATACGAGCTCTTTATGTTCTCCAGCAACAAGGAGGGATTGCCATTGCCGCTACCCCTGCATCGGTGGTAGCCGACTTGGGATCCCTCGGGGGAGATGAAGGGGTTGTAGTTGTGGGAGTACGGCGTGACCGGCCGTGTCACCTCCACATAAGCATTCGTTCCGCTCCTCATGTCGATCAGCTCGATGTGCCTGTAGTTGGACGTTTGCCTCCTCGTCGCGACAGCTATAATTCCCGGAGCACCGGCGGACGTCGCCGGAGTGAAAGCATGGAAACCAGCAGGTGTGATCCGGACCACGGATTCCAGGGACACCGTGGTCGTTCCGACACTGATGGTGGCGCGGTAGATGCTCCACCATCCGTCGGAGCCCCGGCGGTGGAAGTAGAGAGTGGACTCGTCGGCCCAGCATGGCCAGCCGCCATGGTCGACGACCAGAGTCCTTCCGGACCCGTCCTCGGTCCGGAAGACGTATATGGCCGTGCGAAGCTCCTCGACGTCCCCCGGCCACCCCGCGGCGCCATACGATGCGACGGCGGTCCAGGCGCCTGAGGGGGAGACCGCGGGGCTGAAGTCGGCGATGCCCGAGGGGGTGAGGCGGCGGGTGCGGCCAGTGGGGAGGTGTGTGGAATAGACGGCCGCCCAGCTCTGCCTGGGGGAAGGATTGGGCTGGTGGGTTGAGACGTAGACGAGGAGGTCGCCGGATAGAGACGGCCGGTCCTTCATGGAGACATTAGGGTCGGATTCGGCGGCGGCATCGTCGGGGGCCGGAACCAGCGGAAATTGGAGGCGGGTCTGCAACTCAAGGGCGTCTCTTCGAGTGGACGGAGAGGAGGAGGCGAGGAAGAGATCGAGGTAGATGGCGGAGGAGCCGTTGCGCTCGGAGACGTAGAGAAGGGAATCAACGGAGGAAGAAGATGAAGGGAGGAGCGAGGAGAGGAAGGAAGAGGAGGCGAGAGAGGGGAAGTATCCGTTGAAGTTGACAGAGACGCCGTCGGTGAGCCGATGCTCGCCGTGGCGATCGACGGCGATGGGGCGGCGGCGAGAAGAGGAGGATGCGATGGGGAGGGAGAAGATATCGAAGTTGTAGCGGCTACGGCCGAGGGTGGTGAAGATGATGGTACCGGCGGCACATGTGCTGTCCGGCAAGATGGAGAAGGCTAGGAGAAAGGGAAGGAAGAGGAGGAAGTGCCGAGGGCTCATCATCGCTGTGAACTATCGCTCTGCCATCGATAGTTGGAAAGAGAGAAATAAAATGACTCGAAGAGCGTCAAGGGAAAGCAAAATTTATGCGCATAGGGAAGCTTTAGGGGATCTCTTCTAGACCCTCCGTCTCATGCCCTCTAGTCATCTCGACCGTCCGAATATTTGGTAAATCAAACTTATGATATATACTTTTAATTATAATGAAATGAACGGCCGTGATGACAGGGGATGATGGTATGGACGGTATCGGAGGACCAATCATAAGAAACAAATATTTCTTATACAGGGATCCCGCATAGAGTTCGCATTCAACCTAAGACGATGTACAGAAACTAGAAAGGTCAACATGCGATGTCCAGCGGATGCCCTATCGTAAGGCTGGTGATAAGGTACGGCTAAGAATTAGGAGGCTATTATTGTTGCTAGGATAAATCGTTAAGACTGACGAAACGAACAAGAGTCATGTGAACATCTAGAAGACACGTTACGACCTACCTGACACCAATTTAAACACATCATCAGTTCGGCACGTGTTAAACGCCTCACATGATCGATGTGTGGTGATTTTAAGTGTAACGCCTAGCGGTCGAGACTGACTCTTCCTATTCGAGTAATGTTCTCTATAGTTCTACATAATTCCTCCCATAAATTAGCTCTTATGTACTTTCGATAGTCTAATAAAATCTTTCGACAGTGTAATAAAGTCTCAAGGATGTTCAAACTTTTAGAAATCTCTATCACTCCACTATCTTCTCAATAATAAAGAACTTTTATTGGACACACTTGGTTATAATTTTATAGGATCATTTATCAAATCCAATTATCTCCTGAGACCAGATTCGTAATAGACTCGAACAAGAATCAAGATTAACTTTGTAATCTAGGACATAGAATACTTAGAATCTCTATCGTTCATGATAGACTCGAACGAGAAACAAGGTTAGCATAATAATCCGGCACATCTAACGATGCTTAGAAAAGCACAGCTGAAGATCCAACCCCTTTAAGGCAACTGGCTGTTGCAACCAAACATGTAGCTGGAAGAGGGCAAAAAAATGGTTGAAGTCCATACACCAGTAGAGATTCAATTTATACTACATGATAATACGTGCCATGCTAGATTCTAGTTTTGCTTATGGAGGAGTAAAGAGTGACTAAGAAATGAAATTGATGTCATCTAGGAGAACAAATGCACAGCAAATATGAATCAAATGCAACCCTGGAAGGTAAATTGATTTCGTCTAGTAATACCTTTCGGTTTCCTCTTGTAAGAGAGGTCTGGAACAGTTCAGCTCTTTGGTGCTTTTTATATAAATTTTATCAGCACAAAGCATTTTTCATGCAACACATGCAGGAACTGTGGTGCTTAAGATACCTGCAACAAATGGAGAAGAAGAAATATCAGTTTCACAGAGGGGATATGAACAGAAACAGAAGAATTAGTCAACCTTGAGCAGCACATCTTATATCTCCTAATAAATTGGGTTATAGGACATTTATTCTTCCTGCAAGAGGTAAAATGGTATTTGTGGAATTTATATTACTTACTGTGACCAAGAAAATTATCTATGCATGCTTGTCATGATGTAGTTGCCTTGTAGGTTCCATCATTCTTCATGACAAAATATGATCATAGCTGAATTGAACATATATTGCACACTATGAAAACTAGAGAAAAAATGTGAGTGGCAAAACCACTAGTATTGTTCCACCCTTATATACATATAAAACAAAGAGCCAGAGCAACTCAAGTCATCCAAAACATTTACTCCTTATCAAGGGTTTCAAACTCTTGGTTTTCTAGTTAAAGGAAATTGAGAAATTATATACAATGTTTTGTTCAAAACAAAATATAGTTTTACTATTATTACCCTAATGAAATTTAAGACATGAACAACAAAAAGCATAAAGTGAATGTTTTGTTCAAAACAAAATATATGCCTTTTGTTACATAAAATGAATGCCCCGATCATCCAAGAATTGCCAAACACAGTAATCAGATTTCGTTAAACAATGTGCCAACCAGTCTAATCTCACAAGTGTTACATAAAAGTTTAAATCCATCCATGTAATACAAAAAGAGCATAGTGTGCAAATTGTCATAGCTCAACACAAGAAATTACAGTTCCAAATCATTAATAAAACTCTTCAATGAGAAATGTAACTATAACAATTTGCAATTTCCACCACATACTGAAAAATATTTAAAAATCAATTCGTAACCAAATATGAGACTTAAAGAGCAAAGCTATTACAGTGTGACTGTCATGGAGGGTGAAAAACAGGAAGAAGCAATGGAGCACATCTGCATATACAAGATAGTATATATCATCAGCCAGCCCATGGAAACTAGGTCAACCCACCTTACAGGAGAAATGACAGGAGCCAACTGATTATACGAGGGATCGGACAAGAGAGAGTCGTGGAATAAATGGCATGTCACTCAGGGATCTTTCAAAAATAGAGAAGTTGGAAAAGAAAGCAGAAGAGATTTGTCATGCTTTCAGATTTATAAGTGGGCATCACAAAAGGAATACCAACTCTAGATAATGGCATTTGGTAGCAGCTAATTTTGGAGTAATGCAAACTAATAAAGCTGGTGGGGTCCCCTAAGAAGCCTGATGTTCCTTTAAGATTCGTAAATCAGATATAAATATTTTTCTGCAACACTGCCACTAATTTGCAAAAGAACATTGAAAGCATAGGTGCACCAAATTGACAATATGTACTAAACAGTTATCCAGAAAATTTGCTGAAAGATCAGATGATAGACGGTCAATTCTGACAATATCTGAGGCCATTTTTAATTGTGCAAAACATGTTCCAAACATGTCAATGGCCATCGACCAACTACTCAAGAACCCACATTTTGAGGTCCGATTGCACAAATAGTACATGAGAGAAGGCATAATTATGACAATCTCAGTTCTCTATGTTTTAATTTGTCCTAAAACAGATCAAACAGAAAGGAAAAAGAACTTATATGATCAGGATCAGCTGAAAGTATCCTCTAAACCAATCTATTTGTACTGATCCATTCATAATAAAATAGCAAGTAAAGTTCTCCAAAGCCAGAGCAAAATTACATCCAGTATATGTGTGAAAAAGATTGATGTCCTTTCCTATTCTTCACATATTGTATACTTCTCAGTGGATAGGCAAATACTGCATATGACACTTTTGTTTATCAAAGGAAAAACCTGATATTGATCCAAGACGAGCCTAGAAAGCAGAATTCAAAACCCATGAAGTAGCTGACTCCATCTGAGGCACAAAAATTTGCAGTTTCAAGAGCTATGAATACCACTAACCTAAAAAAGGGTATGCTAGTACAACAGTATTCTATTTCAAAATTTAGTGACAGTAAACATAAATTACCTTGTTGATATATCAAAGACTGGTTTTAACTAACTCGACTTCATCTGGGTAATCAGAAAATAGTTCCAATAGTTGTTCATCTGTCCATTGTGCAACAGAAACTTTGGGAATCGACCTTTTAGCTTCATTTATTCTAAGGTCAGACTTGGAGGGCATTGTTGTGGTGGAAGTTTTGGCGATAGTATCACATTGAAAACTTCTGCCAGCATCCATTTTGCTACTGTCAATCACTCTTTCACAGTTCAAAGTTCTTCTTACTTCATTGTCAGCATAAGCTCTGTGCCCTACTATTGATTCTGCAGCTTCCCCAACTACGATTTCTATATCACCTGCTAAATAACAACTAGGCTCGGAAGACATCAATGTAGTGGCAGCTGTGATAGTATTGCTAAAAGGTAATCTTCGAGCAAGACACTCATCATCCCCATCTATCGTCCTTTGGGGGTTCAAACTTTTTGTCACTTCTTTCCGAGCATTAACTCTAAGCATTGCAGCTTGTTCTCCAGCTACTGACCAAAGTCTTTTCAAGTGTCCTGGGTCAGGCCTGCCAGCAACTGTTGTGGTGGAAACCTTAGCACAGGTTTCAGATGACATCTCTCCAACAAAACCTATTTTTTGATTGCCCATCATTGTATTATGATCATAGTTCTTTCCAGATTCATCTAAACTAGTTTCAGCTACATTCGACTGGGTTGGTTTTACTCTCATTGTCCCAAATCCAGATTCCACATTCTTATCTGGAAAAGTAAACAGCCAATTCATTTGTCATGAAGAAATATAAGCAATTCGCATGAGGATAACAATAAGAAAATGAAATGACCATTACACCCATCTCTGGCTGTAAATGAGGCCAGTAATTGCTTACGAGGGGGTCCACAGTCCTTATTGATCAGCTGTTCAGGTGAAAAAACCATGTTAGATGTCTTGTCCATGAAAAATAAAACTCAAAATGCACTTTAAAAACATGTTCACAAGAAGCAAAGATTGCAGAAATACTTTTCATGAATGAGTATATCTTACTTAGCATAAAATTTTACCAAGTTTATGTTCAATATGGAGTCAGCAATGAAGCAAAACTCAAGAGAAAATGCTCCATAAAAAATCTTTGACAAATTTTACATCCAGCTGTGAACACTCTAATGTCGATGCCTCGATCATAGCCAGGTTTAGGCAAAAGAGAGCTCAGATACTGCCAGCAGGACTAGATAGTGCATAATGGTCTAACTTATTCCTTGCAATTTACATTTACAAATGAATAGCAAATTGTCCAAATTTTTCTTAGAGCTGGAAGTATACATGTGTATACATATATATAATTCAATTGGAAGCAAATGCTAATCTCAAAACACAAATAAGTCAGTTGAGACCAGAAATGAAAGTCACCAAAGCACCCATGGCAGTGTTGAAGAATACAAAATTGCAAGAGAATATATAAAGCAGAATCCACAGACAGTGGTTAGATTAATACAAGCAACATAGTTTGTCCTCTGAAACAGCACTGTAAAGCAGATATACTTACACGCCACATCATTTAGATCAAAGGAAGATTAGCATGTAGTATCACCCATAAAAAAGTTCAGCAGAATTCAATCTTGATGTCCTTTCATTAGCTTTATTTTCATATGGTAAATAATTTTGCGGTTCTGAGAAACCGATGCAAGCTGCTTTGATATCATTCACCTTGCACCTAACACTTTCTCTGAGGAAAATGAGAATTTGCTTTGAATTCATTTCAAAAGTATTGAAATGATTCATGTATGAGGTATAATTACATAATAAGGTAAACAACAGTTAAAACATGATATCCCTAGCTTAATCAAAGCAGCATGTTTTAAAGTAGCCACTGTTTCTTTTTCCTCAGTTTTACATGTCAGACGTCATTTTTCATTCCTTCTAGGTTTGAGAATAATAAATTGACCAAAGCACCATGGATCACCATGATACATAGCTGCAATAATCTGACCAGTTATCTATTCATTTCATCATTTATGATATGCCTCCTAATAGATATCTAATGTCCTTCTCCTTTAATGTCCCAAAGATGGTCTATTTTTTGCCTTCTAAAAGAAACATCCAATATGCCGATGTCAAGGTTGTTAAGATTGTACAAATTTACCAGTAGTAACACTGGAGTGTAAAGTCAAGTCTTTTACTTCATTTGTTGCAGTTCTGTCCAGATTCCAGAATTCCTTTATTTATTTCTTAACTGATGCATAAAGTAGTTCCATGCTGATGACTATGATGGCCACGGCTGTCAACCAGTTAAAACAGCTACTGGTTTCAATATATACTTCAAGGACATTTCTGTAAGGAATTGCGCTGTTCCCATTTAGCAATTAGTATGTTCGTTTATCAATATGCTTTGTCCTGATACACCACCACAGTACCTCCACCATACTGTCATTTGTAAGAATCTGGCAGGTGGCTGGCTAAAAGCTTATACTAGTTCTCAGTTTACATCAACCAAAAATTATTAAATCCAACATATTATCTATAAGACTATATATTGCTCTATGTACCAAGGTCATGTAATTTTCGCATTGTACATCAAAAGCTGCATTTAACAACCATTTTGTTCACTCTATTACAAATGTGCTTCCAAATCAGTAAAAACAATTTCCAAATCAGTAAAAACAATTTCCAGCATGTTCCTCTTCTTTTCCAAAAAGAAAATCAATCTCAAGGCCAAATTGGTTATTAACTAAATGTTACTATCACATAACCACAAACCTCCCTATTTTCTTTGCAAATTCATAAGATTAGGTCTTCAATTGATGGCATAAAAATTGTCATTAAGTTCTCTTTTAACGATTCCTTATCTTACACGCAAGACAAAGTGACACCCAATAGTATTTTTCCAAAATGTAGTGGATGTTTCTGTTGGTTTAACGTCACTTAGAAGCATCTTTATCACTATCCATTTTTACATAATCCCACATTATTGTATCATTTGATGCTTTTTTTTTTTTTTGTAATTAATGATATCTAACTTATGGCTTCTGATGTCTCCTACATAAACGTGGTCTTCCCAACATAACTCAGCCACCCAGCAGTAAACAACCTCTTACAGTCTGGAATGACATTCTTCTTTATTTTCAGTGTCTTCACCAAGATCAAATCATAATGTAAATGACTTTTCAGGCTCCTTATTGGGTTTCCATTGGTTGTACTCTAAGCTAAACCTAGCGTAACTGCCATTGGAAGTTAGGGAATATATCAAATATGACTTTTATAGATCTCAATGGCGGCAAAAGATCCATGTAATCAACTCTAAATAGTTGGGACTTATGACTTTGTTGTTGCTGTTGTTCAAGTCAGGGAATACATCAAAAGGACATATGCTATGGAGTACAAAGTGGTAGATTGTTTTGAATTGGAACTTAGCTGGCAAAGAGATGTAGTAGCAATGCAAAAAATTACAGAAACGCCATAAGCCAGGTAATCCTGATATCTAGGCTGGTACAATATCAATTAGGAGTAGGAAAAGTTTTGGTCTCCAAGAGGAAAATTGTATTTGACATATCACATGAATATTTATCGAGACATCCAATGATAGGTGACATTAAAATTCAATAACAAAAGGTGTCTGATTATCAATAGAATTGTCAGCCTCTGGATTCACCCTGAATACTCATATATATGTAACGCACCTTCACAACATTCTTTGATGTCGCATTTAGATAACAAATGGAGCGAGCTGGACAGAAAGCAACCACCTGAAATTATTTCATTTCTAAGCATATGCAGTGTACCAATTGAAAAAGTAAACCACAGAGAATTCGCTAACTCGACCAATTGAACTTCAGAGAAAAGCTGATGAATTATTTGCCACCTGCTTGAGAATAAGGACACAGCCAACAGAAATATCACCATCGAGATTGCAATCCGAGAAGACTCCATGATGGATGGAGGCCCCAATCGAGCCTGTCGGATCCTAAAGATGGGTTCATTGTCATTTCCGCATATGATTAGTGACACTACTGTCGTCCAAAGGTTTAAAAGTACCTTCAGGGTCAGAAACAGGTTGCCCAATCCATTTGGCGAACAGGATTTGACGATCCCTACAACCTGACGGTCAATGCACCAAGTCAGTCAAAACCATGCAAATCGAATCAAAACCCTAGGCCCGCAAGATTACGATCTGCACCTGAGGCACTCGCGCAGTAGCCCGGGTCTTGATCGAATCAATCGGCCAAACCAGGTCGCAGTCCTCCCCTAATCGAGACCACACGACATCAAGAAACGCCTCTGCCCAAAGAAGACGGAAGCATTAATCTCGAAGCAGAGGCTTACCTAGAAACTCCAACGCGCAAAGCCAAGGGTTGAGCTTGAAATCCCCATCTTCCTCGTCGAGATCCATTCCGTGATCATCCATCCGGTGGTCGTCCAAGAGCGGCCTGTCTCGACGTGCGGAGGCAGACTGGCGGCGCAAAGCGGCCTGAACAGCGCCAGCAGGGCCGGGGATGAGTGGGGTAGTGGTAGCTGGCAAGGGAGAAGGCTCCTCGGCGGATCGGTGGACGGAGGGAGGAGATGGAGAAGGGACGGGGGCGAGGGTTTGAGGAGGGGGAGGGAATCGGGAGCACGGCCGGAGGGGGGGAGGGAGGGAGGAAAGGGTATGGGGATGGGGAGAAGAAGAGGAGGAAGGGACGAGAAGGTGAAGGAGATCGGAGTCGTCGACGTCGATGGCGTCTTCCCACCGAATCGGCTCCTCCCCCGCTTCTCTCTCCCTCATGCTCGTCTCAGTTTCCCTGTTTCTTTTAGGCGGGAACGCGGCCCCCGCAGCACTGTTATGCGTCTCTTGATCACGTGCAGTGCACGTGTTGCTGCGACAATGATAATTTTTCCCTTTTTTTTTCGTTTGATAAAGAAAATTGGCCTATTTATTAGAAATGTTTTTTATTTCTATTTTTCTGGACAATTTCAAAATACTCATATTTTAGATATTTTCCTATCCATACCCTCAAGTTATTTTTCTCAGACAGTATCTCTAATTTTTAAAATATATAAAATATCCCTAAAAAATTTACTCATCAAATTTTTTCTCTCATTTTTTTACCGGTCTTAAATTGTTATAATATCTTCATTTCACTTATTTATAATATTTTTAATAGTATTTATAGTATTTTTATTAAGATACTATAAACTTTATACTATTAAAAAATATTATAAGTGATATCATATTGTATCTCTTATTATTGGTAAACCAGTAAGATATTATATTTTTAGGTTTATAGTTAATTTGATTAGGGTTATGAGTCCAATTAGATAATTTATACTATTTTTAAGTATATTTTATAAATATTTTTATAATATTATAAAAACCATTATTTGAATTCTTTGGGTTATCCATGTATATATACATATATATATATATATATATATATATATATATATATATATATATATATATATACATGTGTATATGAATATATATACATATATATATATATACATATATATATATACATACATATATATATATATATACATATATACATATATATATACACACATATATATATATATACATATATATATACATATATATACATATATACATATATATATACATATATATACATATATACATATATATACATATATACATATATATACATATATACATATATATACATATATATATATATATACATATATATATATATATATATATATACATATATATATATATATATACATATATATATATATATGTATATATATGTATATATATATATATATATATATATATATGATTTATCTTTTCATTAGTTTCCGCAGCTGACTCTATTCGTCTGCTGACCTCAAGCGAAGCATCTCAGAGCAGCGTCCGATCTGCTCTTGCAGCAGCGGCTAAAAGAGGAGCGTGGCCGCTGCAGCCATCCCTTTTGGCCCTGCAGAGATTCCTTTTGGGATTCTGATGCCGACGTCTGTGGAGCGGAGAAAGCGAAGTTGCAACGGTGGTCCACCCGGAAGGAGTGGTGAGCTGGGGACGAAGACGACGACCAAATAGTACCCTCACAAAGAACAAGCGTGTGGACCGTCTCTCTCTCCCTTAAATTGGTTGAAACGAGCACAATAATTTAACATTGTCGTCGGAAGAGCAGTTCTAATGCAGCACATGGTTGGCGTGATTTCATCTCCAACATGATGAATTGTAGCTTTCATTGCAAGATTGCAGAACCGTAAAGCAAAGCAGCAGCCTACATGTCTGTGAAGCTCTAATGGCTCCTTATCTTGCCTTGAAGGGATGGTAGACCTTGAGGTCACTCACTACCCCGGCAATGGAGCCAGCGGCCGAGGCTATGGTGATGATGAGGCAGGCCAAGCTCAGTAGCTGCAGGCACATCCACCTCGTGCTCCACTTGGCTACCTTCTTCTGCATAATGTACATCTCCACCGGGAAGTACACCGTCAGCGGCCAGAACCCCACCGCCCCGAGGAAGCCCACCACGTCGTTGAAGAAGGGCAGCAGCATCGACACGACGGTGGTCACCACCACGAACGCCGTGCGCCAGGTAAGCCTGAAGAGGTTGAACTTGTAGGAACGGCTCGCCGGCAGGGGGACCTGGATGTCTTTGCTGATGAACTGGGACTCTGGCCATGTCCTGAGAGCCCATTTCTCCACGAAGGCGAAGAGCGGCTGGCAGTAGACCTGGTATGCGCCGACGAGGTGGATGACGATGGCGACGTTGGCGATGTCGAGGAGCCAGTAGGGGTTGTAGAAGCCGAAGCCGGTGAGGAGGTTGCCGGGGGCCAGGTCGCCGAACGCGGCGTAACCCATGCACCCGCACAGCATGTAGAAGGTCGTGGTCACAGCCACGCTGATGAGGGTTGCCTTCTTCATCACCTTCGCCTCTGACGGCGGCGGCGCTCTTATCGTATCCTGTCGAAGCACGAATGCATGAAATCAGTAACCACGCCGCACTACTGCATTACTCTGTTTGTTTCCAACGCTTCTCCGATCGAATCAAGTACCTGAATCTCGATGAGAATGATGGAGTAGGAGTAGGCGAATGCGATGTCACCGAAGGCCTGAAGGCTGCGCCAGACTTTCTCCATCTGGCTGACTGTGCCGATGCTAATTCCGGTGAGACTGCCTCTCATACCACCATTTTCTGATGAGAGAAGCGTGGTTTCAGTGTCCAGAGTTTAGACCACAGAATCGGATATGTGGAAGGGGTGGTTAAGCTTCTTACTGATCACTTGGACGATGCCGAGAGCGAGGCCGATGGAAGAGTAAGTGAAAGACATGACGGCCGCGACGATAGACAGCCACCATATCTGGTCGAAGTCGGGAATCTGAGAGAAGACGATCTCCGCCACGCCGAACATGATTATGTAAGGGTTGCTGTTAACTTGGCAGGGGCTGTCGTCTCCGTTCTCGTGGAAGCAATTCGACCTTTTGATCGCCCTGTTTCCAACCCAAACCAAACCCAATGTCAAACACCTTCTCGGTAAGCATCCTGCACAAAGCAGCTGTTGCTTCTACTTACACCATGCTAATGGAGGCGGCGATGGTGTATCCGATCGCGACTCCGACGATGTTGAGGTACTGGAGATAGCCACAGAGCTCGACCTTGAAGCCGTCTGTCGATCACCATTTAGTGCAAGAGACAGTCACATTACAAGAAGACGTAGTATTCGCGCAAAGATCGATCCACTGCTACAGTGTCGAGACGTACTGAGATTAGCTCGGACGGCATCCATGTAGGTGTAGTTGCGCTTGCCGGCGACGGGATCGCCGGAACGGTAGCAGTCGGCGAGGAGAGCTGAAGTGTAGTAGGTGACGAACGAGAACAGAATCATGACGGCAGGGCCGGCGACCCACCCGAGCTGGCCTATCGCCCACGCCAAGGATAGCACGCCGGAGCCGATCACCGCTGTTATGATGTGCGCGCTCGCCGTCCACATAGTCCCTGTAAGCATCTGAAAGCTAAGAACAGTGCGGAAACAGAGGATATGAACAGAAAAGAGACCGTTCTTCCTCCTCACCAGTTCTCTTGAGGCGGCCGTCATCGTCGAAGCATTTGGAAGCTCCCTGCGGCAGGCCAAGCTCCAAGGAGACCTCCATGGATGGGAATGCCTTTATCCACACCACCAATTCAATTCAGAGAAACAAGAACAGCAAGCAAAGCACTCAATACAAAGAGAAGAAGGAACTGAAGCAGAGGAGCTGGGAATGGGATGGGAAGATGGAGATGGAGGTATATATAAGCAAGGTAGAACAGGGAAAGCACGTGGTCGAAGTTGAACTCCGATGGTCAACGAGGGTGGACGCCGCCCTCTGTCTCCCACAGTCCGCCACTCGTCTCTGATCTCTCACCTCCCATTAGGCTCTCATGGAGACCCACACGCAGCAGAGCATTAAGTGGGGAGGAAATGGCTAGGAAGCGTCCACGTTAGTAGTGATCGAAGGTAGCTCAGATATCAGCATCAGTGCATGAGAAGAGACCAAACAGAGAACCGTAACACAAGAGATCGACCTCACCTTCTGCATTGGGAGTTCTCTTCTGCTGCGGCTAAAGCTCGGAAGAGGAAGAGATGGGTCGAGAGAGGGATGACAGTTCTGCTCTCTTATAGCCGCACGGACGGTGTAATCCTCACTCGTGTGTGGCATTTCAGCCATCCTTATTTGACGCAGAATAGGTTCCTTCGTACTGAGCCATTACTGGTGACCATCTCTGAGCATTATTTACTGGGGATCGTATGCTGCTCTCTTTACTTGGTTCCATGAATTGTTCTCTTTGGGAGGAAACATATGGTTCATTGAATTGAGGAGGAGGGAGACATTATAGACCTGCAAGTTGCAGACATGATAGAGCTTTGTTTATGCTCGGATCAGATGACTGGTTTGATAAAGTGCAGATCGCTGTGATGCATTTGGAAATCGGGTGGAGTATCTTTGAATGCTGAACTTGTGTCTCCTCTAATCATATCTTGATGGTGATTAGAGGGGAATGCTATACAAAATTATGCACGTAAAGTTGACCACCTTCGTTCTTTTATCAACTTGTATTTAAGTGAAAATGATTTAGAATCAACGTCCAGTGCTAGGAAATAGTTGTTAATGTACGAGTCAATCCGACGCGATCCAAACCTAAGAGCATAGTATCCAAGATTGCGACAAAGATGGCTCTGAGGTAGAAGTGTCGGACTCCCGAAGTATCACTAGCACTAAGATCGATATTGAGAAAAAAATTTCAACCCGATCCCTCTAACGCTCAAGTTAGTGACCGAAGTCTCTTAGTAAGTGTGAATTTTTTTTTTTAAGAGAACCTCATGGTGTAGTATCAATGATTAACTTTTATACTTGGACTTGAGGTAATAATCTATAAATACCTCAACATTCTTTTCTTGATGTTTTATCCACATAGATGGTTGGGGAGAGACAGCCTCCAATAATCTGTCTTGAATTTTTATCCATGCGAACAAATGAGTGATGGGTGACTCCAACTTTTTTCTTTTACGATAATTTTCATGCAACGATTACGTATCGAATGGTAATTGACAGTTAATATATTTTCTATCAAAGAGATTCACGTAAATCAATCATTCCTATGAAATAACTTATCATTGCAATAGCTTTCAGATGTTTATAGTTCAATATTAAAAGAAGCATTATTATCTTGCAAACGATCACCAATTGAGGTTGTTATTTGTTAAAGTTTATCAATACTATAATAATAATAATAAAATTATAAATTTTAACTATTTGAGGTCGACTATATGAATATTTTATCATCATTAAAATATATAAATAATTATATAATTAATTAAATTTAATTATAAATTTTTATTTATAATTTTTATTAAAATATTTTTATATCTTTCTCTACCTCTCCTCTTCCTACTAAAATTAATCATTTTATCTAACTATCATACTATTAAAATCGGTTATGATTTATGCTTACGAGGTCAGATATAATTTTACGTTAGTTGTGAATGACCTACTAGCGTAACCCTCTATCATTTTCATCCGAGTATGGGATTGACATTGATGTTGTTGTTAAAGCTTTAAATACATTAAACTGTTTTACGATGATTTAAATTATTTAAAATTTTCATAAATTGATCAAAATCTTTATCATGGTATTATAATAGAACATGAGTTCAAGAATCTTATATCTCTTTCTCAGTGTCTAATTAAAAAATATTTATCTAATATTTATTTTTTATTAGACTTGTAGTACATTTGGGTTTCGTTTATACATTAAAAGAAATATTAAAACTTATAATTATATTGAATTCCGTTCTAATAATTTACACTCTGCGGATTTGTGGTTACTTAATGAAAATTTTTATCATACCATTAATAATATCATGAGTCAACCCAATCAAAACCTTTATGACTAACTATTTATTTATTTATATTCTTGTGATTATGATATATGCCATATTTATAACATCAGCAGTATGGTTATTCGCAATCTATGCCCAAATTAATGTTTCACTTACTCTTCAAAGTCAACGGTCGTCAGGAAATGATCGACTCTCTCATCGCCGCCAGAGTGGGGTTCTGCAGCCGCACTTAATGCTCCGTGGGGTCAGTGGGGTTGGATCATGGAAGATCTTGCAGGTCAGTGGAGATGGATCATGGTGGAAGTCAGAGCTTATGGCCATGTCCAACGCTTCTGAGATCCAAGGAGAGCTTAGTGACGGTGACTGTAGCATCGGGACAGCTTCCATGGTGATTGCATGATGTGTGGTGGAACACGCAGTGTTTCCATGGCTGTGATGAAGCTAGAGAGAGAGAGAGAGAGAGAGTTGCTAAAACCAATCACAAAAGAAAATTATTGATCTGTATATAACCAAGAGACATTTTGGTTTTGAGCAGCATCCAACTCAAATTCTGAAGAATAGCAACTATTTCTTGTAGTATTCTCAAGAACTGCTTTTGCAACAGTATAATGAATCACCATTAGGAGACATGAAACTTCAATCAGTGTTTCATGATACAATTTTCTAGATACATTTTTGTGAACAAGGACATCAATGAAGAACAACAGCATCGAGAAGAAGTAGAGAACCCATCTCTGGCAACATCGAATCGACCAAAACATACAGGATTGTGCAAGGTTGTCATTCACCAGTTCCTTGTCCGCACGAAGAAGAATGAAGGAAATCAATGATCCGATCATGACAATCATGTAGCCTAGAAGAGGACTTGCTTCTATCGGCAACAGCTGTTCTCTCAGAGGAGGATCGTAACTAGGGCATGCAAGATTGCTTTAGGGCTACCCCACTTCCCAATGCTATCAAATACCGAAGCTTGAGAAGTATCAAATCTGTCGTCGAATGTTCTCTGCTGATTGAACTTTGTTAGGTTTACATGCAACAAATAGAACATAAGCTACAAAATTCAAATTTAAAGCATATACCACACCTGTGAAGCATCTTTAAGAGGACCCCAGCATTCTACTCTGTTGTATTTCTTCGATTTTGAATGGAAGTACACCCACACCTTAGCTTCCATCAGCTCAGGGTGTTTGCTGAAAAGGATGGAATCTCCATGTACCACAGCTTTCAAAACCTAAATACAATCAAACTGATACTTCATATGATCAAAGTGTCAAATTCTTTTGCTCTATCTTCTTTTGATGGACAAGATCTTGATAATATGAATAGATCAAGTCTCAATTCCGAAAACCTAACAATGGTCATTTTATGCCTCAAGGGAAAAGCTGTGATTAATAATTACTGCTGTATCTTCCTTCAAATGTGGACTTACCAGTGGTAGCTCTTTAGAAAAAATATGGTATCGGAATCCAGCTGCCAGATCTTGAAGGATATTAGATCCACTTACATAGCAATGCACATGCAAAGACATTTCTTCTTTTATCTTCTTCCACTCTGCCACCACATCATCCCAATGTAGCGTGGTTTGCCAGCCCATCAACTGCAATTCCATGATGCAAGCTTTCATCAGTCATTGGTGTAAGGCATCAAACAGCCATTGGAACAATGATTATGTTGTAAAATTATGTTACTCTTTAATACTTTTAATCTCAAAAAGTAGCAAAATTCACATGAAAAATCTCAAACAAACTCATGACTTTTTGGACTTTAGAGACGTATTATTTATGCTAATTAAGAGCCATAAACTAGTAACTATGAAGAAAACAGAATAAAATACTAGTATTTCAAAGAGAAATGATCACATAAATTTTGCAATATATAACATTTGCAATGTGGCTGAATTTGTTCAATGATTTTATAGCATCAATGCAAGCAATGTTTTGCATCCATTGTACTTCTCACCATTAAACTCAGACAAAATTCTATAAACATTAAACATAAGTATTTCAAGAGAAATGATCACATAAATTTTGCTATATATAATATTTGCAATGTGGCTGAATTTGTTCAATGATTCCATAACATCAACGCAAGCAATGTTTTGCATCCATTGTACTTCTCACCATTAAACTCAGACAAAATTCTATAAACATTCCAGATATCTACATCCTCAACTAAACATCAGGTCGCAACATGCATGTCAATGTAATTCAAGAGCTTAGTGTCCAAATAAATATATCAATCGATTATACCTTGTTACTGTGCATATTACTGGATACTGCTAAGGTCAGATTTGCTGTGAAATCACAGTGTGTCAGGGTGTAAGCCCTTGGAATGGTGCTTGAAGACTGCTTCTCCAATTCTTCTCCCATGAAAACTACTTTCAGCTTTGATGCTTCAAATCTTGTTGGAGGACCCAAAAGCCTAGCTGCCTGATAATGAAACAAGACATACTAAAATCATTATCTCCATACTAATTGCCGTGGAAAATTATCTTGAATGCTAGTTAGGTTAATGCTAGTGAATCTATAACTCAGAGCGAAGACAAAAACATTATCAGTGCTAAGTTATTCATGATATGGCCCTGTGTTGTTAGTTGTCATTCTAGAACAGGAGACTAATATTCACAAATCTACAGTTATCATCACTATTAAAAAGCAATTTGGCTGAGAAAGATGGGGAAGAAAAGTTCTGAATCTATCCTATTCTCAGACCAAAAATTGGCAATAGGATATGCTAATAATTCTAATCAGAATTACTCCTTGTTAGCATAATAGATCTAGCAAGTTAATGAATTAAGAAAACTGATACTCTCACAAAACAGCTAGATGAATAGTAATCACATGACAGGTTTTTCCTTTTTTTTAGTACAATGGCATGAATGAGCTGCAACTTCTCCATATAATATTTACTTCGGACACTATGCCAGTGGATTAATCTGTATTCATGAAATGCCTGACCATATTTATAGAGAGTTCTTCCCTTTAACACATTTCTTTCAGATATCTTGGAGACATCTTTTCCAGAATGCCCAAGTTAGGGCATGCATTTGAGCTAGAATCTCACAAGTCCATCTATTTTAACCCAACAAGAACAGAGAGGGGAATGGAGTTCGCATACCAGAGGCCCGTAGAAGTCTCTCCTTTCACAGCTCAGGATCACCGGGCGGTTGGCCGGGGCAGCTGCAGCAGACACAGAAGACCTGCCCATGGAGGAAGAAGGGATGGCGAAAGCATTCCCCGCCGAGAAGCAAGAAGCCATGGGAGCTCCTGAGGAGGCGACTCCTTTTACGCCTCATGCATGGCCTCGTCCACTCCCCACGGCCTTCACGCCACAAACACCAGCACGGCCTTCGTTCGCGTCAGGCATTAGAGATATGAGGAGCGATGTGGACTTCTCCTGTCCCTTCTTCTTGTGGCTCGAGATCGCCCACAACCATGCAAGTCTATTACATTTGCACCACCACGCAAGCTGCTGCCTCGTGGAGCCACTCCATTGGTCGCCAACATAAAACTGGATAATGTGAGAGATCCGGCCACTGGTGAATCCATGTCAACCGTGTGCCACAAATAAATCACTGTCACGCCAACAGATGGATCTAAAATGACTGCTTGGATGAAATGTTGCAAGGGCTGACCTGATCAATCTGTGAGGCGCACCAGCAAATAGGTACAGCATTTCGTCGAACACAAGACCAGCAACTTCACTGCTCTGTCTATTTGGTTCATCCAACTCTTTCCCAATAGCTTCCACTTTGTGTTGGAGCATCAAAATCTGTAGCAGAGTTTTGTTGTGGCATGATGATTACTTGGGTATGTATCCATGTCAAGATCTTACGTCTGCTAAATGTTTCAGATGAACTGCAAACCAAGTGATACAATGCCATATTTGCTGCATTGTGATTAGTAGAATTCTGCATTTGACAACACCAAGGAAAAAGAGGGAAAACTCGTTTGCATCTCTTGATGTCTGTTTCAGACAGCCACAGCTTTGTGAAAAATGTTGAAATGGTCCTGAATTTGATAACAGTAGCACTTTTTGATTCATGTGGAACATAATTGAACTCGATACTTGGGCATTGATTTCATGCATTTCTCACTCTCTGTTTGCGCCTTTCTATACCTGACATTATATTCTACAACAAAAAAATGAAAAGATAAGTTAATACTCTTCACATATGCAATGATTTATTTGCATCAGAGTCCTAATTTAGACCTTCAAGAATTTGTCTGCATTTGCCCTGAACGAGAGGAGCCTGCTGTGGTACTTCAGGTTTCACAGATCCACTGTCTAGGTTTTTCAGTATCATCACCTGAAGCTGTCGATATGTGCCATTTATCGCCTTCAGATTCCTGGAACCAAAAAAAAAAAGAAAAATGTTAAAAACCGAAAAAGACCTCAAAGTTAATTATAGCACTTGAAGAAACACTTGTGCAGAGAAAATAGCGGATTGTTCATCTGGCAACATCAGATTAAGCAATTTTTCACACAGCTGCCTATTTGGCTTGCAAGTGTTTATTCGTAACAGATTATATACGTAAGGGTAAAGCTGAAAGCGCTATGTTTGTGCAGTTATTTTGAATCATTTATTTGAACACTAGTAGCTAAGAAGCAAAAGAATCTAAAATTTATATGAGATATGTGCACACGGACCGATCAGGGAACAAAAGACACATCTTTGGAAGCTACAACAGGTTCTTAGAAAACTGAAGCCATCTTTCAGTCACCATAATAAGCTTAGGTTATAATAAGAGTTTGTTTAATTACCTGTGTTACTATTGGATATGGAGAAGGCAATGAAAGTTGGGGCCATTTTTCGGAGAAGGATGACTGCACTGAATCGGCAAACTAAAGAGTACGTTATGAATATGAATAAATTTTCAGCAATATTTTCCTTGCATCAGTTTATGTTCAAGAACATAAAAATTGGTTATTATGACAGTTAAACCTTTTAAAATCGATAAAAATAAAGTTGTCGTAAACACAATTTGATATTGTAGCACAAGCGAAACTCAAAATCAAAGAGCACAAACCTTGAATCCCTTATAGACAACACC